TAGTGCTGCCTTGGCTCCCAAGCATACCTATTGATAAAAACAAGCTAATTAACTTTAAAAAGGATTACTCAAGATTAGAAAAAAAAATTTATCTACTATTACGGGACTTGTAAAAGGAAAGGCACCTCTGTTTCTTTGTCATACATAAGTAACATAACCGAAGGAAATTGAAATGAACACCATCAAAGATAACACTTTAACTATACCTGCCCCCCATAGCTTCCACTTCCTTGGATTATCTGGGGAAAAAAGGGGTGAGGGGTTGAACTGTCAAGGCATCAACTATTCCCTGTCATTTATTGGTCTATTTGGCTCAAGGATCATTCTCTTTATTTAAGCGCAGTCATCTAATGATTAACATATGTTAAATCACATTCTACATAAGCAATGCAAGGCATACCTGATCTTTCAGGAGCATCACCGTGCATATAAATAGTGCAGTTCCCTTTCCCCACGTTGTTCAGAAGGCCGCCTTTATCTCCAAAGTATAATTCACATCTGGTTCCATTATTGTTCAAAGAAGCATATGCATTGCAAGAATAATTGCTCTTGCAAACTATTTCACAGTCACTTGAAACCGTAGGATCTACTACTGTTGAAGCTGGCAATAATCTTCTGAATTCAGAGAACCTATCTCCATCCCTGCAAATAAAGTTCATTGGTATCTAATACTTGCTCTTATTTGGTATCAATTTTACCCCCTCATCCAACATAATGTACTACTCTATATCCCCCGTTGAGACCAACACAAACCATGAAGATGTTTTATCTCCTTTGTTGTTGAAAGTTGAACAAACTTCATTCGTATTGGATACAAAGCTGAAATTGTAGCTTTTTGGTGAGCTGTGAAAGAAGAATCTAATACCATTGCCATCCCAAAATCCAATCCGTTGGGTCACATTATCTCCATGCCAGACATTTAATTGTGTTGCATTGACTGAATCAAGGCCAAGAGTAAAAGAACCAATGGTGGGGACAAATGGACTTGACCATGATAAAAGGGACAGTTTTCTTATGTGATCTGTGCCTATACCAAACCACCCCGATTTCATTCTGGGCAGAAATGTATAGGTTGGATAATTAAAACTCTGCCAGTCAAGTTTTTCTCTGTTTGTAAGCATTAGATTTCCTGAGTCAAGAAGCCGTGCACTTGTATTGTTGCTTGTAGCAAGTGATCCTTAGTTTACAATTCTATGAACTTGTGTTATTGTATGTCATTGATCATCATGTTCCCATCGTACCTTATGAAAAGAACTCCAGAGGAATCCAGGATGGGATTACCACGATAAGCAACCCAAACTGGTTTTTTTCGTCTGTCATTCTTGAACCATATTCCCAAGTAGTAATTGGTTGACTCATTGGAACCAAAAAAAGCCTAACTCAAACACCCCAGCAGCAGAGACAAATGCTTCATTGCTATGTAAGATCTTTCCAGGGCTAAGAGTGTCTATTTCATGAGATCGGCTGAAAATAAAGCAGCATAAGGTAGTAATGAAAATAGAAAAAGTTAACACTCCTTGTATTCTCATTGCAGACGTTAAAGAAAGGTTGAAAGTCTGAATAGCCCAGGAAGAAGCAAAATTTATTGATCACGTACTTCTGGGAAAGGAAGGAACTGAGCGAATAGCTGGTCAATTCTACTTTGAATGAGAACAGAATGTTAACTGTTCAATAGGTTTTTACACTAAAAACAAATAACAAACAAAAATTAGAGTCAGTATCTTTCTTTACCCATTTACGGTTTTCTGATCCCATTTCCTCTCCTTCGTCTGTTTTCTTGTCTTCATTTCAGCTGTCAAGATCTTAAACAATATGCCACAAGGATTGTTTGACTTTCGAGTAGTTGCACCATGTCAAAATTGTGATCAGAAGGGCGCTTTAATCGTTTCATTACCTTAATACAAAGCTAAAAGGTCACTTGGCTTTAAAAAACATAAAAATTGTTAGATAAATAATTTATACATTAATATTATAAACTTTCATTTACTTATAATTCAAACTTTATACTTTAGAAATATTTATATTTGTATATAATTATTATTTAAAAATAACTAAAAATATAAGTATTCACATGCGAAATATGTGTCAACAAATACCGATAATCATTAAATGTTTATAACAAATAGTGAGATAATCAAGCAATGTAATTTTACTTTTTACCATTTGTTTTTATTTGTTTCTACTAACTATTTACTGGAAAAAAAATGTAACTAATACCAAAAAAAAAAATTGGTTAGCTTAGAACACAATACAGCTTGATCCTAGGACTCAAAAGTCCCAAGGTTAATCCAAATTCAGTTCATAAATCTCAATAGCTCTTTCCAAAAAACCAAGAAAGCTAATCGAAAAATATAGATATGTACAAAACTAGGAAGCAAAGGACATGGAACGTGTCACTCTATTGTATCATGAGGAAACTTTATCCTCAAAAAGAGCCTCAATCTCTTCCAGGGTTTTACCTTTTGTTTCAGGCAAGAAAAAGAAGAAGAAAATGGTAGCCACTGTCATAATCCCAGCGAGAATGAAGAAAACTCCAGCAAAGGTAATCTTGTGTGCAATGGTTAGGAAAGTCATGGACACAACTCCACTCACCACCCTGTTCACTGACACTGCAACGCTGCTGCCTTGTGCTCGGTACTTCATCGGAAAAATCTCAGAAGAATACACCCATGTAATGGGGCCAAGCCCAATGGAAAAGAATGAAAGATCAGCACAAACTGCAATTATACTCAAAACAATCGCCCAGGTTGGCTTAATGTCATTCTCTCCCAGAAATTTTGATCCCAAGCCTAACCCTACCAACGAAACAACCATCCCAATAGTTCCTATCATTAGGAGTGGTCGCCTTCCAAACCGGTCTAAGAAAAGAGCGGAAACCAGGACAAAGAATGTCTTGCTAAGTCCCATGATTACAGTAATTCCAAAAAGCTTTTTCTTGTTGTGGATTCCAGCTGCCTTGAACACTTCGGGACTGTAATAAACAACAGCATCATTGCCTGAGGCTTGCATGAAAAAGTTGATGGCAATGGCTGCAACAAGAATTCTACGAAGGGGCCGAGACGGTCTTAACAACAACTCCTTCCAAACACCTTTACCACTAAAGTGGCTTGAATTTTCACAACCCAAATTTGAAGCTGCCCTTTTCATTTCTTCAAGTCTTAATTCAGCTTCCTCCTCTGTGTCTGAAGTTTTTCCTAGAATCTTATTTGCTTCGTCGTACCGCCCTTTCATGACAAGCCACCTAGGAGACTCTGGCATCAGCACAACACCAAAACCAATGGCAATTGCTGGAAATCCTGCTAACCCAAGCATTATTCTCCAATTTATATGATCTGGAAGACTAGCTAAGAAATAGTTAGATAGGTAACCAATCAGAATTCCTATAGTTATGAAAAGCTCAGGAAGTGATGAGAGAAATCCTCGGCTTGTAGCCGGAGAAAGCTCCGTAGTGTAAACTGGACCTATCATGAGAGAGTAACCGACGCCAATACCAGCAATCACTCTCCCAGCGATCAAGAATGCATAAGATGGTGCCAACCCCATTAGAATTGCACCTATGAAAAAAGTTGCTGCTGCCAATAATATGGTATAACGTCTACCAATCCAATCAGATGTCTTCCCAGCAAGGAGTGAGCCAATCAATGAACATACATTCAATGAACCAACCAGGATCTCTACTTGAATTGTTGAAATGTGGATGTATTCCTTGATGTAAATGATTGCGCCGCTCATCACTCCAATATCTGAACTTATATTAGAAATCATCAGTCAAGGGTAAGTTGAACTACAAATGATTCAAACAATGGAACTAGTACACTTACCATATCCGAGTAGAACTGAAGTTGTGGAAGCCAGCAGAGCAGCTGCAAAGGCATATTTGTTGAGACGAGACTTTCTAGGTCCAGGAACTTCATTGGATGAATTGTTTTCCAAGGGAGCCATAGCAGAATCAGGGAGATGACAGTAGTCGGAGTGTTTCTGTACACTGCCAAATGCCATGTAAATGAGCCATGTTTTTCTTGGCGGTGCTTTATCCCGACTAGTACTTTAATTCATGTTCTTTTTACTTGGCCATGCTTAAGATTCTGAGGCATGGATCTGGAATGAAAAGTCTTTTTGACCTGATGGATCTGATCTAAAATATGTTAAATACTTATATCATACAAAAAACATGAAGCTACATTGTCATCTGTTTTTAGTTGAGATATTAGAACTCTCTTTAAGATATCAGAATTCTTCAACAGAAACTGGAGCTTGCAACTTTCACTCATGTTCTGCCAAGTGCCAAGAAGGTGGCGAATCGGGTGGCCGCAAAGCCAAAAGACCGTTGTTTCGTGTCCCCCTTGGACCTGTCTATGCTAATCTCTAGTCATTGTCTTCCCTCCTTGTGATTTGGTTAAGCTGTTTAGGCCCTCTGTGAGTTCTATCCGAATGCTGAAATTAAGTTGGAATCTTATCCAACTTCTTAACTAAACCTTTTGTATCTCCAATTTTCACTCTTTCTTCGTTTGCTTCAATGAAAACTCTTATCTCCTTCTTTATACGATAGTAAATTATTTTTGCAGTTACATTTTATTAGATATCAATCTTTTCCTTTGCAATTATTTAGCCACACAATAGGAAATAATAGCCTGTCTCACTAATTTTTTTTTCTCAAATCTCATTTTCAAAAATTAACAAGGTGACTATTTTATTATTTTTTAATGCACGTTTAATTATTATTTATATAAAACATTTTATTAAAATCAAACCTAGTTATAATAGTAAGACTAGAAAGGTAGCAAGTTCAACAGCAATTGGCAATAAGGCTGATTTTCTACATAATAATGCTAGAAAGGCACGTAGGCAACAGTATGGGTTTAGTTATAATTTGGACAAATTCCAAAGGAAGTTTTAAACGCTGCCGTTTGAAAGATGAAAACAGACAAAAAGGTCGCTTTCACGACACGTTCTAGATTAAAATCGTTGAACAAAAACGCTGACATTTGGCAGACGGATAACTTAAACCAGGGAAAATTTCCCCAGACACACTCTTTCTATTCCACGGCAAAACGTAGCCGGGGTTATGCACTGAACGTGTTCGAAGAAAATTCTGCAAGAAAATTAAATCACTAAAAAGGTTTGGAATAACAAAATGATCCCAAAGCCATTGCGCGTCTTGAGCAGAGGCGCTGCTATAATTTTTGGAGGAGTTCTGACTCTCAATCTTGCTGCTACTGTTGCTGTTGGTGCACTTCGCTCTGTAGCTGAAAAGAAACGGGTAATAAGATATAAAATCTTCCAGGGCCATCTCTTTTCTTGTTTTCTTTTCTCTTTTGATGGTGGGTGAGAATGAACCCTTTTTTTTTTCCATTTTTCTTTCTGGGTTTTGTAGAAAAAGTTTGCCTTGCCTTGCGGAGTTTGTAAGGGGAAAGGATTTTACGTATGCAAGCTGTGCAATGGAAATGCTACGATAAAGTGGTCACCTTTGTATGATCCTATTCATATTAACCCTTGTGTTTGCCCTACTTGTGATGGTAACAGGTTAGTCTCCTATTTTTTTCTTTCCCATTAAAAGTTTTTCTTCTTGGAGAGGCTTTTCTGTTGGTTTTGATAGTTTTTCTCGTGGGATTATCACAGGGTGCAGCGCTGCCTAAACTGCATTGGGAAAGGTTATAGTTGACTACTTGACTTGTAAGAGTTGCAATTCTGGTTACTTCATATTTCTGTATTCCATTTTGTCAAATATTTATTTTCTGCTATGTATTGGAGCCTTATTCATGCTAGTTGATTAATTGTGTATACTAATTACACTTTTTTCATTCTGCCTTGTAGTTGGCTGTTTCAATTAAATACTAAATAATTATCTTCCTGTAATTGTTTCGAAGTTTGGGTGCTTAAATATGGATCACTCTGCAGGATTCAAATTCAGGACATAGACAATGTGGCTAGGTTTATTTAAGTTGAAACCGCATAAGCTATTGCTGAAATACTTTCAACATAATGATCATGGACAAGACTCAGGATATCGCTGATGAAACTTCTAAGGGGGCATAGTTCATTTGCAATTGGTCAAGCAATGTTGTTCTGTCTTCTTCACATTTAATAAAGTGTAAAAGCTCTATATAGCTTACAGCTTTATGGACTAACAAAGAAAAATTCAAACTTTATATATCTTAGTGATTTACTTAATGGCACTCAGACATCATTCTAATTAGTTCTGTCTCTGTGTGTGTGTGTGTGTGTGTGTGTGTGTGTGGTGGTGGTGGTGTGGGGAGGGGGGTGGTGGTGGAGCTCATTTTGTTGTATCCAGTAGACAAAATTGCTGTTAGCACATGGATAAGTAGAGTCTATCCTTGAGAATCAATGAGCCCAAGTATTTGTTTCATATGTGTCTGTCTCTAACCCAAAAGTCCAAGAAGGTTTATCTGTTCCATCTTGGTTTTGTACTCCTCTAGTCCTTTAGGTGAAAAAGAACTCTGCCTGTGCTTGTCCTAACCTCTTACAGAGTGTTTTGGTTGCAATTTCTTGCACACCAACCAACTTTTCCTTGTTGCATGCATTAGTCATTCACGCTATTCTAATCAGATGTTATGCAAACGTGAAGATATCTAACCATAAATGACAAAGGCTTCTGACTCATGCAAATTTAAAACACCTTGAGTTTCAGGTCTCATCATGAGCTGAAAATAAACTGCAATAAGAGCACACCTTCTTTGGACGTTTGGCTATCAAAGAGGCAAGAATTCATCTTACAATGTAAAAAAATGTATCCAATCTTAATAAGACATGATTTTTGATTAAAAAAAATGTCCAATCTCTTTTAGGTTGGCTATCACCTATAGAAGAACTTTGTGTTAACTGAAAAGAAATGAACTTAGGCATTTAATCCTTCTAGTTCATATTTTTTGTCATGGATGATCAATATTCATAAATCCAGATTACTGCTTTTTGTCTTCAACAAAGATTCTAGTTAGAATTAATGAAATGAACTGATGCTACATGATGTAGCTGTTAATGGTAAAAGCTAGAAAATTGCAACAGAATTACAAGTTCAGCAAGCTGCAGTAATGACCCTAGTTTGCGCAGACGCTTCTATTGACTAAATAGTCATCCTTGATCTTGAAAGCCACTGCACCTGCTTTAGATGTTTGGGAAGATAATATTATTTACAGCAACAATTCAGAAATCCTATTTTCAGGCAGGGAAGAGGGTTGATGCTGGGATTTCCAAAGTTTTTCTTTGAGAAAAAAAGAAGAAAATTTCTGGATCACTTTCGTGTTCGCATAACTGGCAAATCTGATCAAGAGGTCCTTCAAATGGAGTTCTTTTCTTGGTGAATTTGTTGTAAGAAGAATTTCAGTCCATATCCAGGAAGCATTCTATTGGTTTTACTAGTGGAGCAAAGGACATTTTTGCGAGTATATGATGGCAAGGACAGTAGTAGTCAATTCTCAATTAAAGAACGTACATATGGTACATATGCAACTTGACCAGTAGTCTATTGCAATAATATTTGGCTAGTTGAAATAACTTGTGCTATCACTTCAGCTCAGCTCAAGTGGTAAAGAGTGTAAGTTTTTGGTAAAGCTTTTTGATTTTAGATTTGAACCATGGTGCTTGATTTTTGCATCACCAAAAAAAAAGGAAAAAAGATTAATATTTGCCAGAACTTCTTGTATGTTAAGAGGAATAATGACTAAGATGATAATGGGAGGTGATGATGCCAATACTTTGGTATGCAATTGGACATCTCAAAAGTCTTCGAACCTAACTCAACCCAAAACCTGTAGAGATTATATTGGTAGAAACCAACTCTGATGAGTCCACTTCAATGCCTAAGTTAATAGGATTGGGTTATAAGAGAAATAAACAATGACAAGTTGAGAACATACTTTATCTGATAGGAATAAAGTTAAAGATTATCATAATGCTATTTATCAGAGGTATAATGATGGAAACATGTGGCAAATCCAAACCATCCATTATATTGTTTCACCTGTAAGTAGCCAACTAATCAAAATATATGGCCATTATTGAACAATTCGTTTGATTTCCATTTGAAAAATGAAAAGTTGGCATATGTTTTGGTATCCAATGTGCTTTACTACTGTAAAAATAGTGTAAACTGACATTGCTGGGATTCTGCTACTCAATTTCCAACCATATTCAATATCTTTGTCAGAATTTAACTCCAAACCCAATAGAATTGGAAGGAAAATGGTTGGATTATTCTTAAAACCAAACATGAACGGAGCCATAATTTTGAATGGTAGTTATGTGATGAAACCCAATAATTTCTAGTTCAATTTTATTTTTACATTGGCATGCATGAACCTTAAATGTGTTTCCACTGTTGATTAAATAGTTTGTTTCCCAATTTGCCATTTTTCTTATATATTTAATGACTCAAATTTGACCAAATAATTATGAAATATCTTTTAAAAGAATTAAAATTCATAAGTATAAAAAAAATCTTTTGATATTCAAAGTGCGTTGCTGTAAAATTGTGTGAATTCAATTTGGCAGGATGCTCCTATACTCCATTTTCAATCATATTCAATGGTGGGGAAGCTTTGCTTTCTCAACCAGCTTATTCAGAATATCAGTATATAACTCCAAACCAATTAAAGTCGACAAAAATAGTGAAGGTAAAAATATTCTCATAGTATACTATAGATGGTTGATTGAGTTTTTAAATTTCATAAGTAGAATTTAAGATATTATTATATATATTTTTATTTATTACATTAATTTATTAAAATAGTAAAAGTTATCTTAATAAAAGATATATGCAATCCTATAATATATAAAATAATAATTTAAAAATTAAAAATAAGAAAGAAATGTCGGTTAAATTTTTATTCTTCTAATTATTTTTTTAGGAAAAAAAAGGGGAAAAGGGGAAAGGCCAGTTCACTCCTGGCCGGTTTCAAGAATCAAGTAGAGCAGGCTCCATTATACTACTCTTGGGCCCATCATGCCAAACTCTGTTTCATCGATCAACATCAGGCGCAAACGATAACAATCTGAGACAGATGATCATCCGTCTGCGATTACGTGGCGTTAATTAGATGGTTGAATGACGTGGATTCTGTCTACACTGGAGAACACCCAATCCTGGACGCTCAGCTGTCAACCTTTTGTCACCGAAAGGGGGTCGAAAAGGAGTAATTCCTTTCTGTTGATTCCAGGTGAAATCTTAGTGGTCCACGTAGATGGGAGGAAAGGTCAAAATCGGGAATGTCAAAATGTGACAAAACTTGATGGCGACGTTTAGGATGTTACAAGGTTGAAATGCTATCTTACGCCTTGATGTAACGTGTCAATGTGGACACTGCACATCCAGATGAACATGGTGTAATTCTAGGAAATAAGGGAATTATTCCCGTTCCACAGAAGCAGAACATATGCCTGACCTCGTTCTTGCATTAATCAAAATCGTTTCATCTTTTAAAAGTAGTTAGTATAAAATTTGGACCGACATTAATTTTGACTCCCAGAAAAAAAAAGGTAAAATTATAAATATATTATCATCTCGTATATTTTTGTGCCATGCTTAATGGGTTAGTTCATTTTGATTCCTTTGGTAGTTTAAACTTCAAAGTCTTTCTCATGTACTCCATTAATAACAACCGCATTTTACTTAAAGATTCTTGTTTGGTTCGGGAGATATGGCTTTCAACGATAAATCAGAAATAAAAAAGAGAATATTTCCTTTTTTTAACTTTTTATTTTCAATTATTATTTAACAAATTTAAAAAAGAAAAAAAAAGAAATTGCATGTTGCAGACAGATGCAAAGCTTTATATCGTTAAAGGTTGAGACAACTATATATTTATTGTCAACCTAGTAGATCAAGACCTTAATTGCTTTGGCACCTAAAACACCCTTCCTTTGCATAATCGTTAAAACTTAAAACACCACTATGTACAAGCTTTGCAAATTGTTATAAATGTATTTGGGAAACTAATTAATTTTATTGTTCTATGTAAAGAAATATATTTTTACAAAACAAGATTTTCAATTTATAGACCAATACGTGTATTTTTCCAACACAAAGAAATTAAGATTTCTTATTTTTTTCATTTTTTAAAAATTGTAATTGATAGACCAATACTTAAATAAAAAAAATTCCGTATCAAAATATATATTGAAAAAGTCAAACTAATCATATGAGAAGAGAGACTGCTAGAAACAAATATAAGAATCTATATTGAATATATAGAAAAGTATTTAAGAATTTCAAGGTGAATAGCCCTAAAGGTTTTTCTTGTGAACCAAAGTCCCTTTGGCTTGTTAGTAGGCAAAGTCTTTAAGGTGAATTTTAAATGGTTAAATTATGTAATTAATTATTGTTTTTTTAAATATAAATTTAATTTCTATATAATAATTTATGTAAATTAAAGTTTTTCCTTTTTTAATTTATTAATTTTAATTCAAATCTTAATATCTTTAAGTATGGTGACATAACATTTTTATTAAAATGACATAAGATTAAAAGAGAGGACATGTTATTTTTTTTTTTGTTAATGTGGCGTTGACGATATTAATCATTTTATTGAACCGACAACAAGTTTATGTTAATGTAGTACTTACTAACAAGGTGAAAATACTAATGCAACCATTGTTGATATGGAGAAAATGATGAATATTTGTAAAGAGATTAATTGTACAAAGACTAACAATTTTATAAAATATAAAAATTAATTGTATAATTTAACAATTTCAAAAACTTCATTTGACTTCATCCTGTTGACTATTAATCCCACTAATCAATTTAGACCCCTTACCACAATAGACCAGGTGAATTTCATATGACAAAAATACCCCTTACTTTTCCCTCGAACTCCTCTCCATTTTCCTTCACTTCCTCGACGGCCAAACACGAATTAAAATTAGCCAAATACAAATTGTCATCAGGTTTCCTCAGCCTCCATTCATCTCTTACTTACTAAAGATTATCCATAAAATGCCGGTAAGGCCTGGCGGTGGCAACAAGAAAGCAAGACATGATTAAAGAAGCAGAGAATTAAGTGAGAAACGAAGATCTGAAAATAGAAAAGGAAAAATAAAGATAAAACCAAAGAGAAAAAAGGGTGATGGATGCATGGTCATCATGGAAGAGGGAAGGACATTTTTGACTGTATGTAGTTCATATGACGTGGTGTTAAAGCTTAACAGGCTGGTTAATGGTGCTAGTAGTCAAGGGGGGTGAAGTGAATTTTTTGGAACAAGAGGGGAGGTTTGTGTAATTTGAGAATTTAGGGAGGGTTTTTTTGGAATTTATCCAAATTTATTTTGTTAAAGAATCATCAAGCTTAAGCTAAAAAGAAAAGGAATCATAGGAAAGAAAAGGGTTAGAAGGGCATTGTTGTTTATTTAATAAATCTTAGGGCCAAATCCCAAAAAAGAACCAAACATTAAATGTAGTACCTTGCGCGAATAACAAATTTCTCCAAGAATCTCTCTCCACATCCTAACAACATTACAAAACCCGAGATTGATGGCAAACCCGTAAATTCGACACAACCTGAAGGGCGAAGCCACAAACACACAACTATAAATGACCCAAACTGACGCAGACTCAAGTACACTCGAAAGAAAAAAACGGAAAAAAACAAAATAAAACTCAGAGCAAAGTCCAAGGAAATACTAACACTTATTGTTTCACAACTTCTTACTCAGCCCATCTCTCTTTTTCCTCTTTGTAGACATGAAAGAGTCTTCTCCATCTCGTCTTCGCAAGAACTGCCCAAACCCACCAAGAAAACTCAAGCTTGTGTGCAGTTTCAATGGCGCATTCCACCCCAGACCTCCTTCTGGAAAGCTTCGTTATACTGGTGGCGAGACTCGTATTATATCCGTTGATAGAAACATAGGGTTCTTGAAACTTCGGGCGAAGATCGTGGACCTTTGTCCAAACGTAATGTTTTCATTGAAGTACCAGGTGGCTGTTGCTGACGTGGATGTGCACATGGGTTTGGTCGTAATAGAATCGGACGAGGATGTCAAGTGCATGGTGGAACAGTACGAGAAGCTGGAGTCGTACGGTAAGAGAGCAAGGCTTTGGGTTTTTGTTTGTAGTAATGGGCTTGAAGGGCATTTTTATAAGGGTCAGGTTGGTGATAAAGTGACAAAGAATGTGGGGAATGGTGGCAATGGTTTAAGGTACGGTGATGATTCTTTAAGAAAAATGGTTTTGAAACAGCAGTTATTGGCTAAACATTCGGGTGGAATTAGTGGAATTCAGGGTGTTTCGGGTTCCAGTGTTAATGAGAGTGGAAGGGGATTAGAATCTTGTGGTAAGAATCAAAAGTTAGATCACCCACTTATCGATTTAGGGTCTGAGGAACGAAGAGTTTTTCTGAGTGAAGAAGACCCATGTGAAACAAACTTGTTAGATTGTGAAATGAGAAATTTGGGGTCTCAGATGTGTCCATTGAAACCTAGGGATGGAAATCTGCGTATGGAAAATAATTGTTCAATGCAATTTCTGCCAGGGCAATCAGGTGGTGCTCTGTGTAATGGACTTGGGGTTTCAGGTCAGCCTGATGCAGCATCACAGGGTTTAAAGCAACCAAATAATTCTGCTGTGATTTCAATGTGTAATGGTTTTGATGCTAAGCATGATTTAAGGAATAGTGAGCAAGGGTCATTGAGTAATTTTAATACAGAGAACATCATGCCATGGGCTGCTAATTCTAATCCAGTGAACACTCATTTGGAGCCAGTATATTTCAACAACCAATGGGCTGGAAGCCCCCATAATATAAAAGCCAGAGAGGCCGCGTGGGGTTCTCAGAATGTGTTCCGGAACCATAAGTTCAGCAAGAATGGTATCAGTAATCAGGGGACGCATCCATACTATTTCCAGAATCATAGGAGTAACCTGTTGGGGTTAAGGAACCATCGAATTGTTAAACTGGATGGAAGGCTCTCAAGCGGAAAATTCTATCTTGAGCTAAAACCAAATTCCAACATCTCAGAGCAAGGGCATTTTATGAGGTCATGCTGCTCAAGTTTGTGGAAGCCTTGGCCTGGTCTTCCTGAGCCTGCCTCATTAGAGGTGGCAAGCATGATGAATCCTGGTTTTAGTGATCCTGATTTTCGATATGGAAATTCAAATCCCAAGGCATGTCATTTAGCTTATTACGGTGCATGGGCTGGTGTAGGTAGTCAATTTCTATTTACCAATAATGATAGTAATGGTCCAACTGCTGGTATAAATATGATGCATGCCAAACAATATCTCATGGTTGGACCGAATCATGGGCTTGAAGTTCCCTATCAGACTCCCTTTGAGAATTGCCATGCAGCACCCATATTTTTTGAACCAATTCACTGCAATCTTCAGAGCAGCCGATCGGCTGCTGATTCACAAGATGTCAGTACAAACTCTGCCTTGTCAAATGATATGGGCTATAGCAATGGAACAGAATTCGTGTGCAATACCCAGTTGTCTGATGCAGAAGCATGTAAGAATGTAAAAAGCAACTACAAGGATGGCGATGGCACTCATAATTTGCAAGGTGAAGTTGCATCTTCAGTTGATCTTTTGTGTAACCTCTCATTGTCATCATCCAAAGGAGTGCACCCGCATGCCCATTCCTCTCATGGTAGCGACAATGTTTCTGACTCCTTGATCACGCCTCAATCAAAGCCTTTAGATCTCACGGATGAAGTGCAGATCGACGAAGACCCTCAAGCTGGTCAATCAAGTGGAAACGGATCTAATCCTTCCCCCAAGAACATGGATGGCTTGGAAAAGGATCACATCCAAGGAGAAGCAATGCAACATGACCTTCCATCTGATTTAAAAATTGATGAAAAGGTATTACATAGTGATCCTTTTTCTCTATTACTGCACAATTTATGATTAAGGAAGAAAATAATTTGTCATAGTTCCTTGGTCTCGGTTACTTGCATTCTCACTCTCTTTTGCCGCAATTAACATTTTCCAGAAAGAAGCTAACGAAGGTACAAAATGCTCTAAGGTGATTGGTAGAATCTCAAGTGGCCTGACTGCATTTTTTACTCATCTTGCTACCAGAGAGCTTCAAGTATTCTGTCAAACATGCACAGTTTCTCTTTCTTTTACATCTTTGGAGGTGAAGATAATATAAAGATAATGTATTTCTATCTTGCTCTGCAGACTATTAAGAGTTCAGACCTGGAATACATAAAAGAACTTGGTGCGGGTGCATATGGAACTGTCTTCTATGGAAAATGGAAGGGGTCTGATGTTGCAATTAAGAGGCTAAAGCCAAGTTGCTTCTCTGAAGGTTCAGTGGAGGAGGAGCGATTGGTAAATATCCATAAGATATTTCTACAGTACTGCTTTTGTGCAACTTTCTCCGCTTGGTCATCTCTAATGATTATGTGATCATCTGATAAAGTTATTTCTGCAGTACTGTTCTTCTGAAACTTGATCATTTCCAATGATTATTCATCTTTTCAAAGAATTTGATCCCGATTTGATATCTCTAATTAATTTAATCATAAATCCAGTAGGATACTACAAATACAGATTTCTTGTTATTGCTCTTGAGTTACAGTATTGTGCTAACCTAGGTGACTTAGGTAGCATTCTTGACTATAGTAAAGATTTTGCATGTGTCGTGTGTGCTGGACACACTTGGTTATAGATATCAGAGTTGCCCTTGCCCATTGATTTGTTTAGAACTGATGGTCCGCTCACAAGTTTTTCCTGTCAAGCTAGACATCTTCAACTCATATTCCTTTCACTGTAATTAGTTAGTATAACTGATGTTTTTGATTTGGGAAACATAAGAGAAATGGATAAAGGGATGAAACTTTCTGTTTGATTTTAATCAGGTTGCTGACTTTTGGAGGGAAGCATATATTCTGGGTCAGCTTCACCATCCAAATATAGTGGCATTCTATGGTGTAGTTACAGATGGCCCTTTGACGAGTTTGGCTACAGTTGCAGAGTACATGGTGAATGGCTCCTTGAAACAAGTTCTGAGAAGAAAAGATCGGTATGGCATTTTACAATCTTATTTCAAATATAAAATTGAAAGAATATATCTTATTTGCCTCTCTTATGCAAAGTATCTCGGATTCTTTGCAGAAGCATGTAGATTGATTTCTTCGTGCTACCCCTATTATATTTGCTATATGAATTGATGTAGCATATACTTCGCATTATAGCTCTAAATGGCTTCCTAGTATTGACTATATTCATGCCTATTACAATTTGACAGAAAACTAGAGACCCCTAAAACGGGTTCATTTAGCAGTAGCGTTATATTCAATAAGGAGAATGGCAAATTTTCAGATTAACATCACATGGTAGTGGATTTGCAAACCTCATATCATATTTTTGGTTGTTGAAATCTCTTTTTGATACCTGCCATTTGAGTCGCATCAATTGAAGTTTGTCTTATGCAGCAAGTATATGCATTTGTTTTCTCCAAATTACATGTTGTCTGATTTGCAGCACTATTGATCGCCGAAAGAGGTTAATAATAGCCATGGATGCAGCCTTTGGAATGGAATATCTACATGAGAAGAACATTGTTCATTTTGATTTAAAATCTCATAACTTCCTTGTTAATATGCGGGATCCTCACCGACCAGTGTGCAAGGTAGCTACAGTTCTTCCATTTGGGTAACAATTATTTGCTAGTCTTTAATCAGTTAAAATGTCACTGTTTCACTTGAACAAATTTTAAATTTCCTCCTTTCTCAATCAGATTGGTGATCTAGGCTTATCAAAAATTAAACAGAAGACACTCATCTCTGGTGGAGTTCGAGGAACTATTCCATGGATGGCACCAGAGCTTCTGAACACAAAGAACAACTTGGTAACAGAGAAGGTAGGATAGTTAACAAATTGATTATCTTTTACATCAGTCTACAATCATGTAATGGATGTCCTGAATACTTATTTATGCTTGAATGCAGGTTGATGTGTACTCATTTGGAATAGTCATGTGGGAACTCTTAACTGGAGAGGAACCTTATGCTGATTTGCACTCAGAGGAAATAATAGGTACAATTTAACTAGACTATCCTATTAGCTAGATAAATTTATATTTACTGGCACTAATTAATCACAACTACTCAAGACTTTCTCTGAATGCATATCTAGTGAGCAAGTTTGGTATTTATGATAGTCCTGGTCATCACATTCTATTTGTTGCAATGCCTATCTTTCATTCCCTTTTCTGTAGTTTTTCATGTGTGTCTCCTTATTATACTTTCTCCTTCCATTTCATAGTCTTGATCCCCAGAGCTTTGACTTTTTATTCATGTTCTTCGACATCTGTTATATGTTCAGAAATTCACATAGAAGAACGGGATGTAAGTGTTGTTTGGTATTTCTTTTTTAAATCAATTCTGTCAAGTAGCTTGTATTTTTTTGCTGTATTCATCCGGTTTTGGTTTCTTAAAGATAAGTTGAGTGTGGAGTCAAATAAAGCTGCAATATCTTCATGTTTTATTCTAATGGCTATTAGGATAATATTGTTACTTGAAGTACTTCATTTTTTTTTTTGACATACACGCTTATCACATTATTTATGTTGTATTCAGCTGGTATAATCAAGGGCACTCTCCGACCTAAAATCCCTAACTGGTGTGACCCAGCATGGAGATCATTGATGGAGAGGTGCTGGTCAATTGATCATGACTCAAGGCCTGCCTTCTCAGAGATCGCCAAAGAGTTGCATAACATGTCAGCAGCCATGAAAATTAAGTGATTACAGCAAGGTTGAGCCACAGGGCAAACTATTGGTGTTTTGCTCCTTATGGTAAATAGGTAGAGTTGCCAAGAACATGGCAGAGTGAGATGCAATTAGTTTGCCATCCACTGTCATGTCTCGTGTGATGATAACCCTTTCTGTAGGGATTCTCGAGCCAGGTGAAATTTATTTTTGCAGTCACCGGCGTGTTAACATAGCAAGTGTATGTACAAGCTGAGTTTAGAAAGTAGAGCTTCTGTAGTTCAGATTGAAGGGTAACCTTTTAACGACGGAACAGGGCAAGGCCTTAGATAGCTTGCAATATATATTTTTTTTTGTCAAGGCTAGAGATGGCAATGCACTGTTTACAGAGACCAGGTCGTTGAGCTATTTTCTTCTAGTGTCTCAAGGATTTTGTTTTCATTCCCTTTTTCTTGTATTAATCGTGATTTTCTTTAAGTGTTTCCTTAATAACAGTTTGATGTCGAAATAGAAGTGCAATCATTATGTTGTGTGTTTTGAGGTGGATAAATCCTGATGGTATGAAGTTCATTGCCATCTTGATTCAAGGTTCCCTCTAGCAAGGAACTCTGAAAGGATAACGTGACATGTGGCATACATTAATGGTACTTAGAAACTTTATGGAAAGGAAATCTACTTAATATTGTCATTCCGATGTCAATTTTTATGTTTGATGTAGTATCACTGTTAATACTTTCATCTGGACGTGCCAAATTATGGAGCATAAGTTAACCTCAATTATACATCTTTTTACAATTGTCAGTGGAGTTTTCTAGTTTAGTCTAATATAAATTTTTCTTTAGAAACTTTCAATTGAACTTTTAACTGTAAATCTTAGTTTAAATGACACAGAAAATATTATGAAATTTCAAAATTTTAATCATAATTCAGTATTGATTCATTAATATTTAAAATAAACAGTTTGATTTAAAACGTGTGAACACGATTTTAATGAGTAAATGTAAAATGTTTAAAATACTATTTTTCTTGCTCCACTTTTTTTCATTATTTTTCTTTCTTTTAGATTGGTCGGTGCTCTCTTAAATTGGGTGGCCACTTTGTGATTAGAATTGGTCATGGAATGACAAATTTGGCCAGATCTCTCCAAGAGAGCACAAGTTGCTCTCCAGATTCGGCGCAATCTGATTGAATCTGGTGCTCCTCAATCAGTTTCAACCAGGGATGGTCGGTTGGCGAGAGGTAGAGTAGAAATTTTTTTTTTTTTTTTGAGTTGGAGAGAAAAAAATTTAAAAATAAAAAATTATAATTTATATAATGTAATAATTTTTAAAATTAATGACAAATAAAATTTTTTAAAAAATATTATCAAATAATCAAACTCAAAATCAAAAGCAGAGGGAGGCTACTAAGGACCCATCCCCCCAAACTTCTAAAAATTTATAATTTTATCACTATTTTGTTTTAAAATGTTATAATTTTACTTTTATTTTTATTAAATTTTGCTTCTTCAAATATTGAATTTTATATTTTTTCCTTTTCAAATTTAAAATTTTAACTTTACCAGTGGTTGAACTTATATGTATAAGAAAATATATTTTTTTGAGATGAATTGTCTATTTCAAATATTAATAGACCATTGCAAAATTATGATTAAAATTTAAAGAATATTTTACTTTTTTTTAAGAACTTTCAATTGAACTTCTCTTTTGCATTTTTGTGTAAATGACATAGAAAATAAATAGCATAATTACGAGAATCATAGTCCAAAGGACATAGAATATAAATGTCAAAGTTTTAGACTTAAGTAATTTAACCCATTTTTGTGTGTTTTTTGTTTATTTGTTTGTTAATTTCTTTTCTTCCTTGTTTTATGTCCTTGGCTCTATTGAACACTGAGGACCTGTCCTGTTAAGAACAAGCCCCACGCGCGGCATCTATATATCGTAAATTTGCTAATTATAGTTTCGAAATTATATTAATAAAAGTTAGATAAGAAAAAAATAATACATCCCTAATTCAACAGGTCTGCAAAATTCTTACACAAATGGTAAGCGCAGGAGCCGCCAGCGAGTGAACAGCTGTACCCACAAAACCTCATCTTAAAGGTTAGTAGTAAATAAGAAAAGAAGGTCAATAAACTGAAAAAGAGAAGAAAAACTCCTTTTTCCTTTTAGAATTTGAACTGAATAGTGCCCTTCATCAGACGCCAAGAGCGCGCGTGCAGATAAGTCATCCTCTGTCCATCCCGAAACGGCGCCGACTTAAAAATTAATCATTCAAATTTCGAAAATAAAAAATTAGCGAACCCAAGTTATCCACGTCAGCTTTCTCCCTATATACGAGATGCCCCTATTTTTTATCCAACACGTTAGTATTATTATTATTTTTTTTATATTTATTTTCTCTTTCGAGCTCAAACAAAAAAGAGACTCGAAAGAGCCCTAGAAAAGGCTGCCTCTTCTCTTTCCTCTTCATTTCTCTCCTCCTTCAAATCCCTATTTACCAAATTTAATCTGTTTGTATGTTTTTAAGAAAAAATTTGGATTTAGTTTAAAGGATCTTAGCCCCCAATTCAAATCGGAAGTCACTTTGTTTTTTCTATCGAAGCCTCGAAGTTGAAGTTGCTGGTAATTACCTAATTCGAAAAATCTCTTAATTTTCGTTTCTTTTCGCGTTTCGAAGGCTCAGATTTTATCTGGATCTTATCGATTCCAATCCTTTTCATCCTGGATCGGGTTCTTATAACAGTTTCTGATTCTATTCAGTTCGTTTTCGCTTTTTTTTTTTTTTAACTTTAGGAAGACTTTTTGTTAGGGGCGGGGGGGAGAGGCTGAGGATTTTGAGCTTAACTTTTTGGTGTATTTGAAATTAGTTTAATTTGTTAATTTTGGAACTCAAAAAGAAATTTTATCCGTTAGGTTATTACTGCCTCCAGTATTGTTGTCTTTTTTTTTATTATTATTTCGATATATCTCCCCCTTGAATTAAACTTGTAACTGTTTGCATATGGAATTAATTTGGTGCTGTAAAATGAGCCCAGAAGAGTCGAATTGAGGAACTTATACCATGAAATGTGAAGTTAAGCGTTTCAATGTTCACGGCTATTGTTGTTAGTTATAATTGAAATGTTCTTAAAGTTGAGTTTCAGTGTTGAGAATTGATCAATTCTGTATGCCGGTCTGACTTGTTTGGCTGAAAAAATGTAGATATGTGAGAAGATATAATGGTGGATACTTTGGCAATTCAGGTTTATACTGGCACTTGCTTTGTTCATGGATATTTTATCCTGTTCTGGTTGTTTCCTAAGAAGTGTGGTTTTATGTGTGCAAGGGAGCAATTATGTGTGGTAGTATGAGACAGTAGTTTGACCCAAGAAGCAAAGATGGAAAACAGCATTGGGTTTTATAATTGCAGGAGAGAACTATCTGCTAAATTTTGGAAGAAGGCCTTGTGAATTTGTGATAAGATGCTCTCATGGTGTCTTGATTTAGCTTAAGATATGGTGCCAGATGAGGCTACAATAAGCAGGCTGCCCCGGGGGATTGGGGTGGGGGTGGGGGTGTGGGCTGTCATATGAGTTGATGTGGTTTAGATTTTAGGATATTTTGAGGTGTTTACATCCTGTAGGATTTTTCTTGAACCAACCTAATGATGTGTGTCTGGTTGGGATTTTGGGAATTTGTCCGTGGTTTAGGAGTTCTTCACAGGTTTTATGGAAGCCTAATATTGGTATTGATCTATCATTTCTATGGAAGAATCATATTGATGTTGGAGAAAAAAATTAGATTATATTCACCACAATCTTGCATTGAAGCGATACTTAAATAAGTATGCCATTGATGCAATGCAGATGATGGCTTTACCTTTGCCCAGCAGCATTTTCATGGTCTTAAATATGGGTGCTTCATGCTGTTGCTTATGCCACTGGCAGCCATTGGTGATTTTCATCTTTGTTATAGGTCCCAGTTCTTGCAATGTCGGCCTTGTAAGGATGATGCTATGGGAGTGGTCACTATTCTAAAAACAAATGGTGGACTAATCCCTAGATTGCCTGGAATCTCTGCCACAATGTTGCCTAACAAAATTATTTCTCATTTATAGATCTGTTGAATGTCAATTACTTGGCCCTTAGAACCTGTTTTATGTGACATCAATCTGCTATTGCCAGAGCTTATCTGATTTCGTGCAAATTCACTTTTAAATATAAAATATCTTACCATCTTTTTCCCCCTTGATCATCTACGCTATATTTGTGAAGTTTTGATTTTTCCTTATTCATACATTATATCTGTACTTTAGGGTTTCTGTTTGTTCTTTTATTATAGTTGTAAGCTTGGCTCATTCCATCTTTTGCTGAATGTTATCCTTTGTATGTAAAAGAAAATGTTGATCTTATGTTTTGTACTTTCAATGATTCAGTTTCTGCCTTGTCCAGGGTCCAGTCATTTAGCATTACTGTTGGTACATTAGAGATTTCATCATGCCAAAGGAGAGAAGAGATCGATCCATGTCTTTTGATAGGTATAGGAGATCTCCCTTTTCATGTAGCTCCAGCTGTAGTCACCGATGTTCGCCAAAACTCCCTTCAGAAACTGAGGAAAATCTAAAGGAATGGGAAGAAGCCAGGTGCCCTGTCTGCATGGAGCATCCTCACAATGCAATTCTCCTCATATGTTCTTCCCATGAGAAGGGCTGCCGTCCATACATGTGCGACACAAGTTATCGCCACTCTAACTGTTTTGATCAGTTTCGCAAGTCATTTGCAGATACCTCAGCAACAACACAAGATCCTCAACAAGAAGGAGCTCAACTCGCAACTACAAACTTATCACCGGTGTCAGCTGCAACTGCAACTTCAGAATCGACTGTCACCGATTTGCAGGAAGAAAGAAGTGAGGAAGTTCCTGCAAGAAGTGAGGAAGGGTACTCCACCCCATCAACTGTCTCATGTGAGAATCAGGTTCTGTCAAAACTAGTGTGCCCTCTATGTCGTGGTGAGATAAAAGATTGGGTTGTTGTAGAGCCTGCCCGCCGTTTCATGAATGCCAAATCTAGAAGCTGTTCCTCTGAAACATGTAATTTTAGTGGTGCCTATAAAGACCTGAGGAAGCATGCAAGGCTTGAGCACCCTTCTGTGCGTCCATCAGAGGCTGACCCTGAGCGACAGCGAAATTGGAGGAGGTTGGAGCGCGAGAGAGACCTTGGGGACTTGATCAGCACACTTCAATCTTCATTTGGGGAGGAGAGTGATGGAAGTTGGCTCACTGTATTTTTCCTTATTCGAGTGTTTCGACCAGGGTCTAGTCCTAGGAGCAGCAGCTGGTCTGGCGCCTCAAGGGCGAGAGCTCAATTGAGTATTAGGAGGAGGTCTACTAGATATTGGGGGGAAAGCTATGATGGGGAAACTGGATCAACCAGAGACGAGGACAATGAGTCTTCAGATGGTGGGTCATTTCCTTGGAGGCGCCGTGTAAGGCGACGGACAACTCCTGACAACCAACCATAACTGTAATTGTATCTTTAAAGGGATCTGTTTATTGTTTGAATGTGAAAGTTTAAATTGTAAGTGTTACCCTTACTAATCCTCATCTTGGACTCGTTTTGCTTTGTTCCTGGTGGTATGGCTGATAAGATTATAAGAATATATCTGAACTGACTTCGTTCTTTGTGTTTCAGGTGGGACAGGGAGAGGATTTGATGTGTATTGGTAGAGCGTCTGTATCTGTTCCGCACAGCGTGGGACAAATTTGGTCCGAGTTACTGGATGGTATTAAATGAGTGAAGTAAAATCTTAATGTATCTGGGAACTTAAATCAATCAGTATCCCTTTTTCTTGCGCAGCAATTTCATTTTCTGTCTTTTGTGGCTGCAATAATCTCAGGGTTTTCCCTTCAACTATTGAGGGATTATTGTTTCTTCTGGTTCTTCTGAGACCTCTGATGATGTTCATGGCTATTCCTGGTTGCCATTTAGTTAAAAAAAATAACTCTTAAAAGAAAGGCGGAAGCAGGAACTCAGTCAACTCAGCAAAAAAGAAAGCCAATTCAACTCAATTCTTCTGGTTCTCAAACACGTGGAATTTATGCGTTAGTTTTGAGTTCCACGTGCTGCACTTTTACCACCATTTTTTATTTGGATTAATAATTATAATGCAACCAAGTGCGGCATTAGGAGGGAAATACGAAGTTGACCACCTGACCTCTATTAATGGCCAAAGCTTGATGGGGTTTGTTTACAGGCAGTTATTAGAAAACGACAAACAGAAGGCGTATTTGAACTTCCCTTTGAATTTGAAATTTTGTTGGTGTATTTTTATTATTCAGTGAAGTATTTGTATTTTTATTTTCTAGGATAGGATCAGTCACATTTTCTCATCATTTGGAGTCTTCTGGAAATAGTTAAAAATGTTTCATTTTACCATAGCATGACCCAGGCCCGGGAGCTTATGTTACCCTTCGAAGGTTAGTTGTACAAATTGGGTTGTCTTCCAACTGAAAAGTGAGGGGATTTTCCCTTGCCAAATATCTTTTGTCTCAGCTTTGCCCACTTGATTATTCTTTCTAACTGAGCTAGCGACCCAAGTATCATATCAAACACTTCTCCGGCCACTTGTAAACCTTCCATTGGTCGGAAATCAACGTGAAAGTCTCCATTTTCCAAAATTATTTCTTTTTTTTTTTTGTTTTTGGTTTATACCGTGATTACTTTTACAAAATTGTTCCTCCTTTCTCTTTCCGTTTCTCTTTTATTCTAAGTATTTAAAAAAATTCGTGATCCATATCAATTTACAAAAATTGGTAGACTCCACGTGAAAACTTTGTAATTTTTTTTTAAAAAATTAAAAAATAAATGAAAATTGAAGGAAAAAATGAAAAATAAAAAATAATAGATAGTTTGATGTGTAAAAAACTTTCGTTTATTATTTTGTTCTTTAATATCTCTTTATAATTTTATTTTATATAAAAGAATTAATTATTTTGTTGAGATTTTTTCTTAAAAATATTTTGATTTCAATATTTATCAAAATATTTTTTGATAGAAAAAATATTTTTAAAAATGAATATTTTTGTTAATCTATTTATATATTTTTTAAAATAGAAGAAAAATGTGTGACGTGGACTTTTTTTTTTATAGTACATTATTGAACATTTCACTATTTTTACTTAAAGCTGTAGACAATCATTAGCCAACTCGGCTTTGCCATATTTACCCATTTCTTTATTTTTGCCTTCTCTTTCCTCTGCCCATTTGCTCCAGGAAGGAAAAAGTTTTCAAACCCTTTTAGCCTCGACAGCTACATGGATCTTTGAGGCTATCTCTCTCTCTAATATACTGCGAAACAAGGAAAAGGTTTCTGGGGATTTCGGGAAATCTTTTCTTTGGCGAACTTTTTTTTTTTTTGTTAATTCAAAGAAAAAAGATGGGTACAGGGGAAGTTTTAAATTCCGGTTCTTGGAATCAAAATGTGAGCAATAACAATGAAGTCGATGTGATTTTGAATGTCTATGATCTCACTCCTCTTAATAATTACTCCTATTGGGTTGGTTTCGGGATTTTCCACTCCGGTATTGAAGGTTTGCTCCCTTTTCTCAATTCTTTTTTTTCTCTTTTTGGTTTTGGTCATGCCTTTTTTTTTTCTTATGTTTTTAAGATTTGGGCATTGGTTATTTTAGCTTTTATTCCTTCAAAATCGTGGATTTATGTTCCCCTGGTGGAAAACAGATTTGGGTTTGCTGATTTTTTTTTTAAATGACTTTTTTGTGATTATCTCCATTATGTAGTTGAGGATAAATGTTTATTTGGGTTTTCCTTTAGGAAAGAAAGATTTTTCCGTGGAGGAATTTGGGATATAAAAATGGTATGAGTTATGGAGAAAATGAGATCTTTTTGTGCTACTTAGATCTTTGTTTTAACTAATGAATTCATCAGTTCGAGCCAAAAAAAAAAAAAACTTAATGAATTCGTCCTCGATTTTTAAAGTACTTTTTGTTTGTGTGTTTTCTTTTGAAAATTTGTTTGCTTTAAGAAAATGGATCACATTTCTATGAGCTGGAGTAATAGAACAAGCAACTTGGTGTGGAGCTGTTTCTTTATCGACCTGATTGTGAAAAAATTTGTATGCTAAATTTTTGGCATGCATGAGGTCATGTTTTTCTATGTTGAAAGATTTGGTACTTTATTTTTGAAATTTTTTAATCGGGTTTTAATATGTTAACATGAAGTTGTAACAGCTTTACTTTTGGCCATACAGTTCTTAAGTTTCAGTTTCAAGTATATGTCATTTAGATTAGATGTAGATAAATTGTGTGAGGGACTCGAGTTCCCTTAGTTGGATTTAATATTGGGCATTTCTAGTTAGTTGGCATGATTAAAGTGCAGCACATCTCAAAGAAATTGTAGCATACTTGAAACAAAACAGCTTGTTGCTAAATACATTTTTGCCGTAAGTCTTTTCAATTTGAAATCAAGTTGTTTAGGCTATAGGGAGAAATGAACAGCATTTTTGCAAAATGACATGAACTTTAGTTCTTATTTCAGTAATCCATTTTTTTTTAATCTAGGAAGCTGAAGTCTCTGTCTCAATATTTATGAACAGTTCATGGTAAAGAGTATGGGTTTGGGGCCCATGATTTTCCGGTTAGTGGAGTTTTTGAAGTGGAGCCAAAGAGCTGCCCGGGTTTTATCTATCGATGTTCCATCTCGTTGGGACGTGTAAGCATGCCTTTCTCTGAATTTAGAGCATTTATTGAGAGTGTAGCTTCTGAGTATCATGGAGATACCTACCATCTTATCTCGAAGAACTGTAACCACTTTACAGACGACATGTCACATAGATTGACAGGCAAAAATATCCCTGGATGGGTTAACCGGCTGGCTCGGCTAGGTATGTTGATCCTTCCAGTCGTTTTATCTAATTCTCTATATGCATTTGCATATGTAGCTATTTGTTCTTATATCAAGATATCTTTGCTTTGCCATATCTTGCTTTTAAAGAATTGTCCATGACATTAGATGCCATCAATGCCTTGCTCTTCCTTTCATCATTTCATAGCTTTGATCATTTTTGGAGGAGCCCTCAAAAATTGGCAATGTGTGGCTACTTTTGCTTGGTATGTTTAAGCAAGGCGGGATGAGATGGAAGTTGAACCCTGGTCCTTGACCCTCCATTGGAGGGAAAACAACCACTAGGCCAAGCATAGAATGTTATGTAGTCTATATTTGGCATTTTCCCAAGAAAAGAAAAACACATTGGATATTGTTAAGTTCATGATATATCAAAAATGTAGGTGCTCTATGCAGCTGTCTGCTTCCTGAAAACCTTCAAGTAACTACAGTGAAGCAGTTGCCTGAATACCATGACATGGGTATGCTTTCCATTTCTTGTGTCTTGTTTTTGTATATTTGAACCTGCCATTTACTCTACTTGAAATACTCCTTGTGATAACGACACTCATATTTGAGATTTTCTTCTGCTTCTTTTGGTTGCTTGTTTCCAGAAGATGGAACTGAATCTCTCTCAACTGCCACCCCCCGCGATTCAACAGAAATTGATGATACAGAGCAAGAGAAGCACTTGCTGTCACCGAAAGATGGCAATTTGGATGTAGCATTTGTTAAAGAAGCCCAAAAGTAAATGCAAGATAACCTTCGAAGAGGGGTTTTTATGGCAGCCTTCATCAAGAATACTTGCTTTGAAGGGAAGAACCAAGTTGGAAACAGAGATGAAGAGCTTGCATGCATGACTTTCATTTGAATGTTGTAATTGTTTTCCCATATTCTTTCAAATTTTTTGGTGTCTTCATTTTTTTATCCTGTTTATTTATTTAAGCAGTAGAATTTCGAACTAGAAAAATAGTTTGTGATTGATGCTTTGTATGAGTGGTTACATGGAACTTTTGGAAGCCAAATGGCATTGCAGATGATTTATTGTGAGCTTTCTGACAGAAAGTTAAACATCGCATAACTAAACAAAGTCAGAGTTTTGTAAGAAGATAGTACCTGGCAGGCTCTTGACGCTTCCAGCTGCAATTTTAAACGGCCGAAATAAAAGGATAGGTCATTGAACAAGATTAGGGTGCTCAGAATTTGGAATGAGGCTCTTTAACTGTTAAAATTATTACTATGGTAAGAGTTGGGTGGACTTGAAAAGCATTGTCCACATCAAGCCAACCGTTATGCAATGGGATTCAACCATACTGAGGGCAAACGCAGAAGAGGTGTGGCAAACCACGTTCAGTTCCCTTCCTTGTTTATATCACAGTTTGGAAGCTCCAATGCTGGACTAATGGATTTTCAGCGATCAGGTTCCAACATTCTATACACACAATCAGTTAATGGTACTTGACCACACAAGAAGCAAGTAACCGACTTCCAGCAGATAACTGGAGATTGGAAGAATGGGAGTATGTTAATTATCTCCTAACATGGTTTGGAAAGATGATTGTACTTTCAAGTAACAAAGAAAATGCTCCTCCATGCTTGTTGATAACAGGAGCTTAACACATCTATAATTCTTCACAACATCATGGAATCAGAAAACCGTGAGTCTTTTTCTTACAACGAATATAGAGGAATATTATTGAGCAAAGCATAAAATTTACAATCCAGATTGCATTCCGAATAATAAAATTCCAAACTGCATGTTGATGTTCAAATTGGTACATATTCTCATGATTCATCACACGGTCCTAGAAAGGTCTGAGGCCAATGAAGCAAGATCAATCACAAGAGAAATAACAAGGTATGCCAATTATCACTATACCCAGAACCAGAACAATTTTGCTCAATTTTGTTTTCTTGCAACTCGTAAATAATTTCTCCTCACCATTTCGCTTGCTCCAAATAATGCAAAACATCCTTATGTGGATCGACCCTCAAGCCCCAGTTTTGAAGTTAACCAAGCACAGACCTCTTCCATCTCCTCAGGGATTGTATAGTGACCAAGCCTGCATTGTTGAACAAAGTACTCAGTTTAATTTTAGATTATCAGATATTAGAAGCAAGAAGTTTTGTTAGACTGTCAAGACCCATACCCATTGTAGGATTTGAAAGTCATGTCCTCGAATCCATTTGAACTCAATGCTCGAGACGATTTCCCACCGAATTTATATGGAACCACATCATCACCTGCAACCAACCATGTAATATATTTTATACATAGTTCAAAGGAACATCACCAATAACCTTACTATGAGTAAAATATGAGTAAAACTGAATTTTGTAAAATGAAGGCAGCTGCCAAGTTAATTACCAAATGTTTGACAAATGAGTTTAGGCTTCAATAATGACAATATCTCACTTGAGAGTCTGGGAAACTTCACCTTTTGCATCCTTGTAACAACTCAGTGAACAAAAGAGATGTTCAATCAGGTCAGAGTTGTTGTCTAGGATGCATAGACATTTTTCAGTGGGCTATTTCCTTCTCTACGTAAACTACGCAAGAAATTATTCTTGATTACTTCTGACAACCCAAATAAATCAATAGGGCCCTCATATTACATCAAATGTATACAAATTAGCTAACAAGAGGAATTACGTAAGTGTGAATTACATTGCTAGGACTACTACTCATCACAATTTCATTGATCCCCAAAAAAGCCGTAATTTTAGGTGTTATGCCAGTAGTTTTATGTTAATCCCCTTAAATAGTAGTCTAATCAGGTAGAACAGGGATTTGTTTTCTACTTATGAAAAACTAACTCAGGTTGACACTAAAAATTTGGCTGGTCACATTCCTCAACTAGCAGGAATTACTTTGTTTTAATACCATCTTGCCATATCCTGCTGCCACTTGCTAATCAAAATACATGGTGCTAATGATTGTGGCGCCACTTCTGCGGCAGAAATATAAGCTAAAGCCAATAATATGACACATCTCTGACAAATTGACTGTGCAAAAACCCATGACAATTTGTATACCAAAGGTGATCATAAATACCTTTGCCATGGCATAGCAAAATGGGCAAGTGTCTAGCACGTGTTACAGCTTCACCCTGTGCTTCTATTTTGTCTTTCAAAGTCCTGGAAAAGAAAGGAATTTATAACTACTGGACAAAAAAAAAGGGGAGGGGGAGGGGGGGGAAGAGAGAGAGAGAGAGAGAGAGAGAGAGAGAGAGAGTATCAAGCTCATATGGAAAAGGTGCCAATAGGAAACCAACTTTGAACATGGAAGCCATCCACTAGTGCTACAACAACTGCATTTAATTGGCAGGATACGGATTGCCATTTCCATATTTTCCATGAGTAAAACAGGTTGCAGAGTATAGGGAGGTAGCTGCACCCATACTGAAGCCTCCAACACCAAGTTTAACTGAGATCGAAAAAAGCACAGTTACAATGATGTCAAAGCCAATGACAATATGCAAAAGATTGAAAACTAAGATGAATGCAACATTGCAATTGTTGTAAGCCAAACTAATCAAGCAACAAATTACTTAGAAATAAAGCAATGCTAAAATTGCACTCACTTTTTACAGAATGACGGGGAAATAAACAAATTGTAAAATAGGAACCGGTTACAAGATAAATCTGCCACAAATAATATGTATTTTTGCCTACCAGCCCATATAACAAGAACCGAAAGAAGGAAGCTAAAAGACACAACAAATCTAGTGACTTCCAAAACCAGCACCATTCCTTCTCATGTATGGTTTATGGCCAAAAGAAAAAAAAAAGGGATAAGAATATTATTCACATTTGGTAGCCATGGGAAATAAAATTAGAAAATAGAAATCTTGCAGAAGGTAAGACTATTGAATGCAATGTGAAGCTTTCTTACTCATGAATTCTCAAATATCAAACAAAATATAAGTGTCTACAGGGCATTGAAACCTAAATATTCAGAAGAGAAATGGGAAAACACTGCCTAAATTAAAAATAAATAAATCCTAGCATCGTAAAACCTCATAAATTAGCAAGAGGAAACATACTGTCAGCAGGTTCTGTTGACAACAAATTTGCAACATGTGCTGCAGCAGCATCCAAACCCTCTACATCATCAGGAGCATCTTCTGAAAGGTCTCCCACATCAAACCCTGTTGTATGTCACATTAGAATTCAACAATTTGATTAGCATTTTCAAAGCACCATCATCAAAGTCAAAGGTTGAAGAGAATGAAGCGCATTTTGTTTCCTTCATATGGGAATGCATCATTACAGAATTTTAAGAAACATACTTACAAGCAGTTGATGGAAAGCCACCAAATACAGTTACTGGTTGAGTAGGGGCAGTCGGGCATATCCATTTAATCTGTACCATAATATCATCAGAACATGGAAAATGATGCAGTTCTCAAGAAAAATAAATTCATTGCTTTATAGTTAGAATATATTCTCCTAAACATTTTTGGCTCCAATTGATCATCCTTACATTTGGAAGAGGAAGGGTCTCCAAGAGCTGGGACCAGCTGCCAAACAAGAAGAAAACATAAATCAGGATGAATCTTTGCAAAGATATTTCAAAAATATCATGAACCTTCTGCCTTATATTTGAGGTTGTTAATCACAAAGATAGGACAACTCATAGGAGGGGATAACTAAGATTCCAAGTGGCACCATATATTTTAGTTGATGGAAAGCCATGCTGAAAACATATATTAAGCTTGGGAGATATGAAAGCATGAAGATGCGGTTAATTCCAGTCTGAAGACTAAACCACTAGAAAAGTCATCCAGAAATATCGTTACTATTGACTTAACTCGTAGTTTAGGGTAAGCCTTAGCAGCAAAATAGCAGCAATTCAAGACCAAAGTGTAAAACATATGCATAAAAGAGGTTCTTTGGCAAGCAAAAATTAATTCCTACTACGTATTTAAACCTGAACAACATCAGTGCCATGCTACAAGAAGAAAGATTGCATAGAGAAAGAGAGGGTTCTACTCAGTTCATAATGCCAACAACTTTCCCCCTGTATTCAGTAAAAACAGTACATCCATGTCATTAATACACAGGGTATTACTAAACTGACAGAACCGTAACACCTGAAAGATTCTGATAGGAAATTTAATATAACACTTTGAAGGTATCTTACTTCCTCACTACAAAATAATAATCAATACAAATATTTTCATAGGACCAAATGTCTTCCGGAATCACTCAAAGAAGGAGGAACAACGAGCCACAAAGATGTTGAAAAAATATCAAACTCTTGGCACCTAAAGTTAACCAGCACAATCAGCCAAACAAGAAAGAAAAAAGTAAAAGGTGTAAGCAACGAAAAGAACTGTCACTAACAAAAGCTGACAAAGTCTAACACCAGCTATCAGTATTTTCCTTGAAAGATCTGTTGAATTGTCAAGGGAAGGGAAGAATTAGAAATGATAATTCAACATAAATAGAATGCACTAAATAGAATATACATGATATTTCATCCTTTAGTAATTTGACAGTTTAAGAGAGATGAGGAATCTGCATTTTAAATTGTTTTATTTTCCTCATAGAAAATAACTGATATTATTGAGAAAATCATCTTAAATTTATGAGAAAAAAAAGGAATAAGAAGCTTAGAAGCAATCCAAAGTTTAATTTACCTTGAACCATTATCACCAAGGCCATGTAGCCAAACTATGGTCGCTTGGTGTCTACCTTTGGGCCTGACCACATAGGTTCTTCCAAACTCAAGTGCTCTTCTAACAGTTCTACCACCTGAAGAAATTTGTTGCAGTAGAGTTCAAGTGCTAACAGTTAAAACTAAAAACAAGCTCATGAATTTATATATATTTAAATACTAAGTCAATATATATACCAATCCACCATACACTGAAGAACCAATTGATCAAGTGCCAAAAAAACAATAAAAAAATTTATGCAAACTTGGTATTGAAATCTCATCATAGACATTAACAAACTATAGTAAGATGGAGAAAAGCAGAGACACTGACCAGGGCCAACAGAAGGACCTGTAAAGCTCATATTAGCCCACCGGAAAGTAGTACTGACCAATACCCGCCTATTGCTCTAGAAGAAGGCAGCACTGATCCTGCAATGAAGAAAGACCCAGATCTACATTTAACATCAAAAGTCATTTCTACAATGGAGTTCCTTTTCACTACATTGATACATAAATTCTTATGACTAATGCCAAGTGGTCTTGTCAACAGCATTTCAGCTGAATCCCAAATCAAATCCCACTTTCAACATTTGCCAAAAATAAAAAAGGTACATTGCAACAAATTCATCAGGAAAAAGACTCTTTTATCTAATACAAATTACAAATCTTTCAAAACCCTTAATAAAAATGGGACTTTAACTCTATATAAATGATATTCATTGGATACAATGGAAAAGAACAAAAAAGCTTGGACCGAAATTCATAGGAGAATAAGAAAAGAAAACCCCAGATGAGCAACTTTTAAAGTCAACTGTTTTTGTGGATTAACTGGTCGCAAAGACCTGCAAATTGAACTCCAAGAAATTCTACAAAAAGAAAAAAAATTAAAAAAGCATAAACCGTGGAAAAGAAGAGATCAAAAAAGGAAATGGGATTTTAGGGTTTTAGGCATTTTACCTTTTCCAGTGATACGTCGACTGGATGGCGAGACTCTTCTAACCCCTAAGACTTAGATACAAAAATCTCTTTCTTTTTTTTTTTTATTCCCCAAAAGGCGGAATTTTGTTTTTTCTTTTTTCTTTTTTCTCTGATAATTCTCTTGGGTTTGTCGGAAACGATCTAAGGTGCGGTACGCTCTTTGCTAATTTACAGATATTTGTCTGTCCAATGATGCCATAAACTCTGGATGTTTGACACGTGGCTATTTTGAGGAAAAAGCCTCAGTTTAGCTTTGTTGCAAGCATCTGCTTTTAGACAATAGGAATTTATTTCAATCTTTTGGAAATATTAATATAGGCACAGAAGTAATAAATATTTTATTGATAATTAAGTTAAATTTATTCAACACAAAAAAAAATGATCTAATAAAACTATTATTTGAATATTAACTCAATCACATATTTATTTTATATTATATATATAAAGTACTAATGCACAATGTACTCAAATTAAAGAAAAAAAAAACTCTAATAGTTAGAAGTGACATATATCATTACAGTTAATAATTCTTACTTATTTTTTATGAATATAATCTGAATTATTGGCAAAAAGAAAATAAGAAACAGTTGAGATACCCAATTCTTTGTTTAACCAGTAATGTACACTTCGCATTGGTCTCTTATAAACTGATGAAAGGGCAGGAAAGAAATTGTATATATATAAGTGGGTTGAATAGTTGTTTGCTAATGTTATCTTCCTTAGTGATAAACTATTGATTCTTTAGCTTGAGCAACTTGACCAAGTAAACATAATATTTAAAAATTATCTGCAGTTTGAGGTCAACATTCAATGATCTGCCAACAAAGGGTGTTTAAGAACCAAAGGCGAGGGAAAAGTTCCCCACCGTCGGCCAAGACCAGTGTCAATGACTCCATTTTTCCGCCACCATCTTCTCCTTGTAGACATGGGGCTGAGTGTTATGTTAGACCAAACATTAGTTGTATTCTTTTCTGTTTTTGTTCTGGAATTGCTACAGAGACAAAGATATGAAATCATTAGAAAGAATAAATCATATGTATATAACACTGTAGAGCCATCATCCAGGAGGATTATGACTGAGAAATCAAGTAAAACCTTGTTACACATTCAGCATTTTGCTGAAGATTAGCTGTGTTGAGAAAGGAGAAAGGAAAAGAAGATCTAATACTGTTGATCTCTTCAAAATTCCTTTTTTATTTTTGTTACAGATTTCCCTTGTAGGTGGAACTATTTGCGAAGAATAAAAATGGTGAATCTCTAGCTGAATCAAACTATGGTACTAATTAGAGGGAGTTACCGTCCAGATAGCACAGACATTGAAAATGAGGATGAAGATGAGCTAGGAAGGTTGCAGTCCGCATGTGATCCCATGACACCAATTCTTGGCCTGTCAGGACAAGAAGAATCCTCTTCATCTATCGATAGCAAATCGACAACAAGCATTTGTGTTTCTGGGGGTTCATCTACTGGCACACGCCCTTCAAGCATCTCAACCACTTGTGCCATGCTAGGCCTTAGTTTTGCCCGCTCTTGTATGCACCACAAAGCTACATAAACCATTCTTTTTACTTGCCTCTCATCAATACCTTCTGCTTCAACTAGCCTGTGATCAACAGCTTCCATTAGCTTACCTTCTCTTAGTTTGTCCCTCACAATTTTAGGAAAGTAGTGCCATTTCCTTTGAGACCTATCAGTTCCATTTTCAATCACACTAACATTTCTTCGGCCTCCAATCATCTCCAGAAGAACCATTCCATAGCTATAGATATCAGACTTCTCTGAAACTCCACGCTCCAAGAGCCATTCCGGGGCCAAATAACCTCTAGTCCCCCTGATTGTTGTAATGACCCTGCTCTCATCTTTTCCGATCAACTTTGAAAGACCAAAATCTGCCACAATTGCTCTAAAATTCTCATCAAGAAGTATATTTTCTGGCTTGACATCAAGGTGTAATATCCTTGACCGGCAATCATGATGTAGGTAAGAGAGTGCCTTAGCCACATCAATAGCAACTCTGTACCTTAAGTCCCATGACAAGCAACCTCCAGGACGACTTCTAGTCTCCCTTCTGGAGAAGATCCAACAATCCAATGAACCATTTGGGATGAATTCATAAACAAGGAACCTAGGTCCTCCAGGAAGACAGCAATACCCCATAAGGCGCACAAGATTTACATGTTGCACACTTGCAATTGCAGCAACTTCAGATCTAAATTCCTTCTCCCCATGCTCCTCACCTTCAATTCGCTTCACAGCAACAGAGGTGCCATCACTTAGGATGCCTTTGAATACTGAAGCAGAAGCACCTTGGCCCAGCAGCGCTCGGAAATTATCTGTTGCATCCTCAAGCTCTTTGTGCCTAAACTTTATTGGAACACCAGCTACCTTTCTGAGAAAACTATACTCTATTCGAAGCTCTCGACCTTCTGATACCAGTTTCTTCTCTAACAATTTCCTTCTGCGATGATACCGCCCTCTAATTACAAGACACACAAATACTGCAAGGATTACTGCAATATCTGCCCCCGCAATGAGGAAGAAAGCTCTGGAAAGTTTCAATGATACGCGAGCAACGATGATAAAAATGATGAGGCTGATGATAATTGTAACAGCTATTATATTTGCTTTCTTGTCCTCCATTAGAGCTTCATCATTGTTTTCCAGCCAGTAGGGATGCAAAACATTCTTGATCTTCTGGATTTCGTTGGTTCCTTATGTGGAGAAGAAAAACCATTGTTAACTTCCCTGAGAGGAAGTAGCATTCATTTAACTATTTAATTCCAAAGATTAAAAACTGTTTCCTATCTTTGGATCAGCCAAATGTTGAATCATGGGGCTGTGATTATTTTATATCTACATCAAAAGAAACAACCGCGAAGTCCACCTAATTATCCTTTTATTTAGTCCCTTTAATGTTAGGGGTCTTGTTTATTTTAAAAGATTTTAAATGGTCAAAGGTTTGGTTCATGCTGCTGATACAAGTTTTTTCTGATGACCAAGTAAGTTGTCACTTTTTGTATTTTATTTTCATGCAGTCCTTTCACCATTAAATACAGTAATTAAGAACATTTAATTCCTGTTTACTTTTCCTTTTTGGATAATCATCTTTTGGCTCTGTCAAATTAAGCAGCAGCTGATACTGCTTTTGACTCTCGTTTTTCTGCTACAGCCACTCACCAACTCTACCTAACTAGAAGGCAAAGGATAAGAAATAATAAAGCTGCACTTGAAGGGTTGTCTTTCTACATTTCACTTCTGCTATAGCGTATTGTTTCCACTGGAGTAGGAATTAATTCAGAACACATGACAAAGTCATTAACTCCCCGTAAATTTGAACCATTCAATAGCTCTTGATTCGGTAAACTAAGTCAAGACAACATGCAGATTAATATAGGAATAATTGAAACCTAGGTTGCTTTCACCTTGGTAAGACTATAGCATCGAATCTACAACTTAATTTTAAATAATGCTTGAGAGTGGAAAATCAGAAGAATGAGATGACTTCTGGCCTGGTGAAAGCAAGACCAAGTCCCCAGTTCATAAAATTTCATATCCAACTGGAAGTGAATAAGGCCAGTGCTGGCGGAGGGTCATAGATCTATGACATGATGAGGAACAGGCCATTCACCTGAGGTTGGAAAAAACTCATGATTTTGATATGTATAATGATATATATATATATATATATATAATTAACTAATTCATGTTCATTCACAGTTAAAAGTGGGGTTTTTTCTGTTTAGAAAACTGAGAAGGGCCCAAAAAGCTCCTAAAACTACCATTTACTAACAAACAAATGCCACTTTCTCAATACAATGCTCTCTGTCATCACACGGCATTGCTGCAGGCTGTTTATAAAGCTCCCAAAAGTTTAGGTATCATGGCAAAATGACACCAAAGTTGAACATGGTCGACAAGGGCGGAGCCTCCTTACCCAAAATTTTAAAAAAAATTTACATATTATATAATTTTTTTCAATTTTTTTAATAACTATCCAAAATAATTTTTTATTTAATAATTAATATAAATAAAAATAATAAAATAATTTCATATATTTGACTCAATTTTATTTTTTTTATTTTTCTTTCAATTTATATAATATTATTATTTTTATTTATTTATTTCTATTTTAAGTTTTCATATCTTCTAAATCTCTATAAATTTTCTTTCATAAATTTCTACGAACCATCAATCATATTTTTTTTCTTTTTTATTATGTCATATGTAGATTATATCTTTTATTTATCATATTCTTCTTCTTTTTTTATATGTAGATCTTATTTTTTATGATTTTAATCTTTAAAAATAAATAAATTATTATATAATTCTCAAATATAAATTACAATATTGTCCTATTGCTTAAAATTTCATCTATATATTATTTTTTATTCCAAATAGTAAATACGTTCTATCATGTATGTTGCAAACTTTAAGTAATAAAGATATATATACAAATTGATAGAATAAAATAATTATATTTTTTAATATAATTTTATTTATTATACATATTTTTAATGGTGCTCAAAATAATTTTTTATTTAATAATTAGTTTTATTCTTCAATCTATTTAATAAAATTAGAGTCATTATGATTAGCATATTGCTAATTAAACCTAACAAATAAATTCTAAACTAATATGTTAAGCTTATCAAATTTTTAAAAAAAAGAAAAGTGAGTCCACTAATTCAAATTCATTAAATTTTAATATAAATTTAAGCATATCATAATATATTATGTCTTAACAGTCTAATTTAATAACTTATTATAATATATTATATCTTTATAATTCCACTTAATAACTTAATATGTTAATTAGCAATTGAAGAGGTAAATATAAAATAAGAGAAGAGTTAGAATATACAAAGTAAAAAGATAATTTATTTGAGTTTGAAAAATTATTTTCTTTTCTGCTCTTACGAGCAAAAAGTGAGAAAGATCCTTTTTATAATTCCATCCAGTTATATATATAAACGACTCTATTATTAATGTTAATATACATTTTTTTATATGTTTGATATTTTTTAAATTTTATTTAATCTTTTAGATGAATAATAATTGAATTATATATAAAGTCTCTTTAGCTACTTAATATAGACTCTTTTTTAAAAATACTCTAATTCCACCCTAGTGGCAATGTCATTGTTAAATGAAAAGGGTAAGAAGTGCCTTTGGCTTGCGAATATAAGAAGGGATCTTAACAGATACTTCAGAGACTAGGAAAGTGCAGAGAATGTAATCCACAACCATTGACCAGACGACCCTCCAAGTTGTTAGCAGTCTTTTCTATCCTAAAGATCAGGAAGTTAACAATTTGTAAAGAACAACCTGTGAGACAAAAGATGCTCTCAGTTTTAGACCATTCTTACATCAAGACTTAATCCATTATTGTAATAAAGACTCGTGTGAACCCAAGCCACAATATTCATTTCTAAACAAGCAACTGACTGGAAGTCTGGGAATGACATTCAACTATCCCATACAAGCAGTTGGTCTCTACTTGTACGGAAATTTCCAGCGTCAGTGGAAGCTGAGGAAATTGGAGAACGTTTTGAACATGACAACTTTTGCTCTTCTCAAAGGCCCGAGTTTCACATTAAGTATCCCGCAGACATGGATTTGCTAACTAAGGTGTACTGGTCCACGTGAAAGAGGCTTCCTAGAATTACACAGGATCCAGCCATGGAACTACAAATTAAGGAGATCATGGCATAGAATCTTACTTTTTCTCCTCGGTGGAACTGTCCAAAGGATGTTGAAATGTTTGACTCTTTTTTTGGTCAACAAATTAATGGAGATTTCTTCAACAACCAATTCCAATGAAGATTTTTATACCACATTATAATTCTTGCTCGGTTTTATAAAATTTCAAGACAAAGATTGAGTCTACAATGTTTGCAATCCTACATCCTTATTAATAAGTTATCCAACCCTTATGTTACTTTTACTTGCATTAAATCCTTATACTACAAAAAACTTACAAGAAGAACTGGCTATGAATCCAGTAACCAACAGTGGGGTGTAAGAACTAAAATAAAATAGGATTAACCTTTGACTTCGACCCACATTTTAAAAAAACATTGATTCATAGTTTCATGCAGTTGTTCTTTCTTTTTCCTCCTCGAATTCGAAAAACACCATCTCTTCCATGATTGTTACAATTAAATCCGTAAAAAAGAATTCAACGAAAAAACTTATGCCAATCAGAAGAAAACACATCAATCTAACGGTCACTATAGAGCTAGAGGGGGAAATCACAATGGACCGCACTTTGGCACTTTAAGGGTTGAAGCAGATGACATGGCAATCCTATTTTTATTATTTGCGCTATTATTTCGACCAAAAAAGGCCAAAAGCCCCCAGGCTTATGGCGACGTTGCCCTAAAATGAACACTCTCTGCTCTCTCTTTCTTACTCACTCCCCGCCGTGTTAGTCAGCTTAAGCTTAGAGTGATTAGCGAAAGAGAGGGAGATGGGGAGCCGTGCAAACGGAGTCGGCAGCAGCAGCGCTAATGGGCCGGTGGATAAAGGAGTTGATTTTGCAAATTACTTCTGCACATATGCTTTTCTTTACCACCAGAAAGAGATGCTCTGTGATCGAGTCCGCATGGACGCTTATTACAATGCTATTTTTCAGAACAAGCATCATTTCCAGGGAAAGGTAACCTCTTTATCATTTTATACGTTACCCTTTTGTTCAAAATGCTGCTTACAGCATAGGAGAAGGAATTTTTTTGGCTTAAAGCTTAGAACTTGAACCCGAATATGAAAAAAAAATCCTTTTTTTTGTATTAATTTAATAAGTTATTAGTTTTTGTGAGTTGGTGCAACTTATAAAGAAAGGGTTGCAATTGGGTGTTGCCATTTTTTGTCTGAAAGGCCTAAATTTTCTCTTTTTGCTTACATTTCAAGCTTTGTTACGTTAGTGGAGGTAAGACTAGAGGAAGCTATGAAAGTTAAAATTTTGAAGCAGATACATTTGATATTATCATGTTTGTCTCAGTACATGTGGAACTGAGATAACTTCAGAACTTTAGACTTGGAAAGCAATGAAAATGAAGAATTTGAGACAGGGGCGCTTAGTATTCTTATTAATTATATTATTTGGGATTTTTCTTTTTGTAACTATGTTAAATAGTGATGCAAAACTAATTTGGTGAGTCCTGGTGAAGACTGTTTTGGATGTCGGAACAGGAAGTGGCATTCTTGCAATCTGGTCTGCCCAGGCTGGTGCAAGGAAGGTCTATGCTGTTGAAGCAACCAAGATGTCGGAGCATGCCCAGAACCTTGTTAAAGCAAACAATCTTCAAGACATTGTTGAAGTAATCGAGGGCTCTATGGAGGAGGTTGTCTTGCCAGAGAAAGGTTGGCATCTTTGGATTATACTTGTTGCTTACATCTAGATTGATTTACTGAGGGTTTGAGATTTTTTCCTCTAATCTTAGATTTTGGTTAATGGACAGTTGATGTGATTATCTCTGAGTGGATGGGTTACTTTCTCCTGCGTGAGTCTATGTTTGACTCAGTGATATTTGCTCGTGATCACTGGCTTAAGCCAACTGGAGTCATGTAAGTAATCAATTATTTAGAGGTTTGCTTCACCTATCTTACCACTTTTTTTTGTAAATTTTTTTGATGCCTCATATGTTATTAATTTGACATTGTTGTTTATTTTTAAGGGCTTTACTTATCTTTAATCATTGTTTCTATCTGACATGTGGTCTATTTCTTAAACAACTGCTACCATATACAATTCAGTTCACTCTGCCACCAAAAACTGTTTGATTAACTGGGTTAATCCTACATCACTTTAATAATACTTCACCAAAAAGCTTCAGTGATTGGATTCTTTTACTGGATGAGTATGTGCATGCCCTTATTTTGTTTATTTTTCTTATTTAAGGGTGTATTGTTGATGTAAAGCTTAAGTTTGTACTTTCCGTGCATTTGAGAGTATAGGCTGAGATTCTTGGAAGGACAAAAAAAAGGTCAAAGAATGAGTAATGTGGTCTTATTTGAGGCACTGTTAACTGCAAGGAGCTGGCTACCAACTCAGTGGTTGGGGTGGTGGGATAAACCTTAGGCCTTCTATCTTGTGGAAAGGTGGGCAATCGTCAAAGTAAAGAGTGAGGGATGTCAGCTTGAACCAACTTAAAATGCATGCACAAATAGGCCTTGGCTAAATAGTAAACGTTAGGGTGTGGGATGGTATCTTGTCAATAAAATATGTATATATGAATAAATAAGATGTAGATGTGATGTACTTTAATTGGACTCTAACCTTTGCATGTTTGCTGAGATACCTGTATTTTACTGATTTTCCCTGTCATAATATCAATGTTTTTTCTTTAGCTGCTTGTAATATTTGTTAATCACCTTAGCATTCTTAACGTTTTTTGTGCAAACTCAATATCCAATGAACAAATTTTCATTTTTCAGGTATCCTAGCCATGCACGCATGTGGGTGGCACCTATCCGATCTGGATTGGTGGATCAAAAAAAAAATGATTATGAAGGAGCAATGGATGATTGGTATGGGTTTATAGAAGATACGAAGAATTACTATGGTGTTGAAATGAGTGTTTTAACAAAACCTTTCTCAGAAGAGCAGGAGAAATATTACTTGCAGGTGATTTTAAAATTTTGTGATGCCTGGATTCCCTTGATTATTGGGTTTTTTTTCAGTTATTGGCAAGACAATATCTTACTTTCACAAGCTACTTAAAAATCAATGTTGGTAAACTAGCTCCTTCTTCTTAAAAATGAACAAGAAGAAGAAGAGAGAAAAATTAAAAAGGAAAAGACATCCCAATCTTAGGCATTGAAGCACCAAATTGATGTCTCTAGGTGAGGGTTAGTCAAATGGACCCATTTATTAGATGTTTTATGTACTTAATCCCTTTTAATCTTGCTACTCAAGGCCATTGCTGGACACTTTGTTGCTGCTATTATGTTAAAGAACTGAGAAGGATGTTCACTTGTCTGCAATTTTGGCCCCTATTCGTCCTTTGAATAATGTTTGGTTTAGTTCTCTGTCCTATCATTTTCTATAAAAAAATCTATTAATTTGTATAGACATCATTATGGAACAACCTTCATCCACATCAAGTTATTGGGACAGCTGCCATTATTAAGGAGATTGATTGTTTAACTGCTACTGTAAATGACATCCTTCAAGTCAGATCAACTTTTTCTTCTGCTATCAGCATGGAGCATACTCGCTTCTGTGGATTTGGTGGATGGTTTGATGTCCATTTCCGAGTAAGTTAAGCCTCAGCATTCTATATTGTTCAAATATGAAGAGGCACTATGTGTACATAGATAACTCTTGTTCTTGTTTTGTGCAACAGGGAAGAAGGGAGGATCCAGCTCAGCAAGAAATTGAGTTAACGACTGCACCGAGTACAAATAATGGCACCCATTGGGGACAACAGGTCTGAATTGCTGAAACAAACTCACACACGCGTGCGCATTTCAACTATAATATATGGTTACTAAACACACAAGAACTGTTTTAAAATAGTGAAATGGAATTTCAATTCAAGGAAGCCTTGATGGAGCAATTTATTACTTGCCCTTCTGCCCTAATTTCATGCTAGTTTTACTTAATGAGAGATCAATTGATTTTACCCATGCATCGGGAGTAAGTGCTCTTCGTTTTAGGAGGCTTTGGTCTGGCTATGTTTCGTATGTTGATGTTTTTGGAAACTTGATTTGTTGTGTATTCATGTGTCTTTGCTTCTTCAGTGTCTTGATGAGTTTTTGTCGCTTTTACTATTGGACAGGTTTTTCTTTTGCATCCTCCTACTCATGTTGATGAAGGGAGCAATCTCAATGTTTCTTTCTCAATGGACCGTTCTAAGGAAAACCATAGATTAATGGAGGTTGACTTTCATGTTAAGATCAGCCAACCTTCTGGCATGATACTTCCACCAATTAAGAAGAAGTTCTATGTAGAGTGAGGAAGGCGATGGATTTCCTATTTTGCAGATTTCAATGCTTTTTTAAGGTATATCTCTCAACTTGATGATACTAGAATTATGAACTTGGTTATTACCATATCAGGCTAGCTTCACATTCCTTTTACTTTTTTAAGTGTAAGCATGAGTCATGCGGGCTTCTGTTCTTGCCAGTTATCCCTGTTTGGTTCTTCCTGTCATATAATAACAACATGCTCTTATGCATGGAAGATCTTTTGTGATGGGTTATTTGCTCTTCTAGCCTTTCTAGATACATATTTATTAGAAAGCTACTCAATGTGTTGAACTTGTCAAATTATTGAGGCAACCTTTTGGAAGGACTTAGATCCTATATGGTCTTTTTAAAGCAGAAACGAATTGTGGACTTTTTGCGGCTTCAAAATTTGTCTAGTTGCTTCACTAGAAGTAAAAGTAATGAAGTAGAAAAAAAAAATTATGTGATTAATTGCTCATAGTTATACAACCAACACTCCACTGCTGTAGTCCCCGATTAGAACTCTATTCTTTGAATTGCTGACCATATGAAATTGTAAATGCCAAAATATTTAAATTAATGCATATTCTATGGTTTTAGATTTTCCAATTTCCATTATACCATTGGGGTTTATTCTAGAAGTTTCTCATCTTTGTTGTCTCTTTCTTTTTGGTGCAAAATATGATTTACTTGTGTATATAGGAACATGGAAATAACTTTGTATATGTCCCCTCTTTTTACTGTTTTCCCTGTTAATTATAACAGAATGAAGCACGTACACCTCTCACCATGATTTTTATTTGCCTATGCTTTTTCAGTGTCTGCATGTGAGGGCATGGCACTGTCATGTTTGGTGCCGATTATATGGTTCTCAGAATCCCCATCCATACATATCACTAGCACTTTGATGTATCTTTTTGCCGCTTGGAGTAGTTTATTGCGTAGGGCCTGTTGCATTTTTAAGCCGTGTATCAAATTTTAGAGTGTCCTTTCTCATTCGTAATCTTGAAACTTCTTTTTTGGGGATGCATGTCTACTATGTGCAGCAGAAATGTACGGGACTGCAATTGACAGCTGAAATTTCTCAACTAAATCTATCATACAGGATTCCAAAGGAATATATTTTTGTTGCTGCATCATTGGGTCATTCAGTTTTTTTCTTTCTCTGGATGGTTTGAGGTCCAAAATAGAGCCTAAGGTGATTTAACAGGAAGCTTCCAGCTCTGATCATCCGTACATTTACTAAAGGAAGGGAGCTCACTGCACAATTCCCCGGCCGACTGAGTAGTGACATTGTACTTTCTCAAATTAAATAGTATTAATTGTGAAAGCGGAACATGATTCTTTTTTTGAAAATGTGCGAGGGACAAATCGTGATGTCTTAATCAGGCCAAACCTAAATTATCCGAAAATTTGTTAAACCTAGAAACCAAGATCAAGTGATAGCGTTAAGGAAAGCTTGCACCAAGGATATTACCACTGGAGGTGGTAGATACCATTGGCTATAGACGGCTTCAAACATGGTAGCCTATGGCTTCTAAATTGCCATGAGAAATGCCTTCAGTGCTGGGAGGTCCAGCGTTCGTCAATTCTGGGATGGGGGATTTGTATCGATCCGTATTTGGTTTTTAAGTGGCTGCTAGTGACTCCTGGACTTGTAGCATATGCATATCTGTTCTGTAATTACTACGCTGTTCACTATTGGGTTGGGTAACTGACCCAATAGTCGAAGCAGATTGGTAAAACCTGATGCTGAAAACGTTGATTACTGACTACTGATCATGAGTGCGTGCAGACCAAGCAAATCCTCGGGTTTATGTGAATATTCAATTAAGGTCTCGTGATTCTTTCGAGGTAACCTTGTGCTGGAAATCTCCATGCATAGACTTTCCCATAAAGGGCTAATCAAAGCCATAAACTAATCTCTTGCATTAAACGTTTCTCTGTCACATGCACATGCATGCTCCTTTAATTGCATTTCAAGCTGCTTTTAAGCTAAGCAGAATCCTGGAGCCGTTGAGAAAAAACATCTATCAAATTATCAACCCCTGAAGTTCAGAAGCCAAAGCGCTTAACTTTCTCTTTAACAACATCTTGAAGCCAATGCTATTTATGTTTCTTTCCCTGAATTAAGGCTTTGAGCAAACCACCACTTGCTGTATATAAAGATCCTTGCTTCTTGACTTCAACCTTACTATCCTCGGGTTCTCTTGCTTTCATCTTCTCAACAGTCAAGAATGCACAGGTCAGCATCATCAAGCAATGCTCGACTCTCCGACGAATTCTTTGTGAACTTGTCACAGGCTGCCATTACATCTCCGCTGCTCAAAGCTGCTGCGGCATCGGATGATATGCCAGAGTACGATGATCACATCACCGAAACTACCAAAAAAGAAACTGCTTTCCATCATCACAAGTCAACGGGAGAGAAAGCCGTTCACCTTATCCCGGTGGTGTTAATTCTATGTGCTTTAACTCTATGGCTTTTCTCTCGTCCGACAGGTAAAATATGACGAAAGCCCCATTGATGCTTCATATTTCAATGCCGTTGGGCAATTATTTTTCTCACCTTTTTCTTTCTCTTTGGAAATTTTGGCCATGTATTGTAAACTGTAACTTGTTCATCATTTATCAACAAGCCCATTGGGTTTTTAATATTTAATGAAATTATGCAAAATTGAGAGTAACTTCATTTTCACGTTCCTTGTGACTCGTTTAGTTGTTTTTCTTTGTCCTCGACGTTTTAGACTGTACGTTGCATGATGATCTGAAAATCGTCATGATGGAGATAATATTTTTTATGTAATTGGTCGTTTGCAATCGACCTGTCCATAGGCCAGGAGACTGCCTCAGGCCTACAAGCTAGAACCCATTTTTAGGCAGAGCCTAGGTTAGTACTTATAGCCCATGTTGTTTTATTAAATAATTAGTTTTAATTAAATTTAATTTAAAATATAATATTTAAATATTTAATTTTTTAATTAAAAATATGAATTCGAATTTTCCTTATCTATAACATAAAGTTACAAACCTTTAGAAAGAATTTAGATAAACGATCAAAAAAAATTTATAAATTTTTAAAATAATAAGAGTCAAGAGTTTTCGATAAGATAAAAAGAGATAACTTAATTTATAAAAATCAAATCAACTTTGAAGAGATAATTTAATTTATAGATATCGAATCGACATTTGATGGTTTCAAGTTGCTGCCTATATTCATCCAAGGAAAGCAAGAATAAAATAAGGGATGCTTTTTGGTGTTTCAGAATATTGTGAGAGATATCCCGTCGTCCATCTTTGGACCCATAAAATGTTCCATCAAATCCCCTTTTCAATAATTCCACCACCAGGCAAGATCTTTGAATTTTTTCTTTTCCTTTGCATACCTAATATACTAATTTAAGTTGTTCGGTTCTTTTAGGTCAAGAAGATGTTTAATTGGAGGGCTAATCTTGTGAGTTGGAATTGGTTCTTATATCAGTATCTATGGCCGAACTTCTTTAATTGGTCGATATATATGCGGTGAAAGCATGACCATTCTATGGTCTAATCAAATCATCTCTGTAATTATTCCATTTATATTAACCACGGGAGTTACTGATGGTAATCATCACTAACAGTTTTTTAAATTCAAATATGGCTCCAGATATGATTATATTAAGAAATATATATTTTTAATTTATTTTTAATTTTAAAATATTAATATAAAAAGATTTTTTAATAATTACTTAAATTTAACTGTATGTATAAATATTAAATAAACTGAGTAAGCATTTTCTTTATTTAATACTTGATAATTATGTTTTTGAATAATCACATTTTATTAAAATCATGAAAGGGTAAAATACCGTAACTTAAAGATAAACTAAGTTAACATGTAGTACGAAATAGTTTACCCAAACTATATTCATAAGACAATAATCATTTATTGCCATTGATTTAGTTTATAAACAAGTTTTAAGTTGAAGATATCAGATTCCTTTTGATAAAGGCTATCATGGACCACCCCGTAGGTTTTCTGAATATTGCATCTCATTTCTCATAGTATTAAACAATAAAAATAATTTATTAAATAGTATTGTTTGCTATATTGCACCTCTCTCTAGCTTTTATTATTATTATTACAATAGGGGAGAACTATTGCAACTTGATCAGGGTCGGCCAATCCCAACAAAGCCACCAACAAGCAGCTGGTTGAAGTTTTTCTTCTAATGGGCAACATGAAGTATTTTTTGTTGGTCTACCACGCTTTAAATAAAGAATTATCAAGAGTTTTTAAACTACAAAATAGTAGCCAATAAAGAGAGAGAGAGGCTTTGGTGATTCCGTGGGCTAAAAAGCAAGCAAAAATAAAGAGGTGGACAGGAACAGGATTGTTATGAGGTGCAACAACTGAAAAAAACGTGTCTTATCCCCTTATTTCATGCATGCTATTGCTATCTACATTAAAAGTCTTCTGTCCAAGCAAATCATTCATGTCACGCAAAAAACAGCTGGCAATCGCCATTTTTTTTTTCTCACAACTACTCGTATTAATTAATTAAATAATGAATTCATCATGCCCTTTCCTAATTTGTCTTTATTTCTGCTGCTGCCAAGAAAGTGTGTCTTTGGGTACAAAATTGATGCTTTTATTTTAGGTCACGGTTTTTTTTTTTTTTAAGAAATTATGAGTAATAATTTTTTTGATAAAGGTATTTTAAAAATAATTATCAAAATAAATTTAATTATTTTTAATCATATTTAATCATGATTTGATAAAAATATTCTTAAAACTATTTCAAATAAATTAAACCATTCATCATAATTTTTTTTCATCTGTGCTTCTGATTTCTCTCTCTCATCATCCCACTTTCTCTAATTTTACTGATTTCTCTCTTCTGCATTTGTCTAGTATGCTCCCAATTTCTCTCCCCATATTTTCAGATTTCTCTTTCCAACACTTTGAAGACACAAAACGATAGTTTTCAGATTTCTCTTTCCAGCACTTTGAAAACACAAAAACGATGATTTTCATTGCTTGAGTGGATGACTATTTGGAGAAATTGATTTTTATGTATTTAAAAAAACTAAATAGTAAAAATGATCATAAATGTTTGAAATAGTTCTTAATTGGATCAATTTGAGATTTAGATACCAATAAATTCAAAATTTTAAAATTTATAAATAAGTTTTCAAAAAAAAAAATTTGATCTTTAGTCAAAATAAGTGTTTTAGATCATAAAATTTGTATTTTGATTTATAAAAACAGGTTAGAAATACTTTAATCGGTGCCAAATTGTCAAAAAAAACAAAAAGAAATAAAGAGAGTTAAAAGGATTTGAAGTTTTGGTTTATAAATAATAACAATAGTTTAGGCATTAAAGTGTAACAAAATGTTTTTGATTATAGTATGTAATAACAGTATTTTTTCAATATGACGTGTAATAACAGTATTTTTTTTATAATATGGCGTGTAATAACTTTTGGTAACCATGGTGTATAACATGTTTTTGTACAAATGTAACAATAGTTTATTTTTTTAACATGACGTGTAACAATTTAACCAAGACATGTAACATATTTTTGTACATGGCGTGTAACAATTTAATCATGGCGTGTCACATGTTTTTGTACATGGTGTGTAACAACTTAACCATGACGTGTAACATATTTCTGTATATGGAGTGTAATAACCTAATTATAACGTATCACATGTTTTTGTATATCGCATATAACAACCTAACCATAACGTGTAAGATGTTTCTGTATATGACGTGTAATAACCTAACTATAACGTATCACATATTTTTGTATATTGCATATAACAACCTAACCATAACATATAACATGTTTTTGTACATGACGTGTAATATCATATTATGTGATTTTATTAAGGATAATTTTATTAAACTTGACTAAAAATAGTTAAAATTATAAAAAGAGTTATTTTTAAAAACATCTTTATCTTTAAGAGTTATTTTTAAAAATATCTTTTTTTTTGTATATATAATGAAAATGTTGCTTTCTAAAGACTTATATCATTTTTCTTGGAAAACCGATCACAAGTCTAAACTCTAAGAAGGAACTCGTCTATTAGAACATTTTCGTTTTAACTTGTAACCCTTGATGTTCATATTTGGTTTTGCTTTGAGAATAATTTATTTGACAATCAACAAGCTTTTTCGTTTTTTACTAGAATATTTCAATCAATGCCTGTACAGAAGAGAAGGTAAAAACCTGAAAATAGAATGGGTAGGAACATTAACTGCAGAATTGAATGTTATGGAGACATAATGCATTGAAGGCTTTTTAATTGAATTAAAAATTTGAAAGTGATGTAAGTGGTAGCAACCGAAAACAACAGTTCCTTGATGCTTTGGCAATCCGCAATTATCATTCCCCAAAAGCATCTTTATTCCTTAATTTTGTTGCGGCTAACCTCTTGGAGGAGAGGTGCCCTAAAGATCAACATTTCTTTCAGTTGGAAAAGCCATAGGAATTAATATTGCACAGTGTCCACGGCTATGCCTTCTGGGGAGGATTGGAATCAAATGAGATATATGAATCATGTTTGAGAGCCTTGACGGAAAGGGAAATAAAGGGAAGTAGGCGGAATAGGGAGAGAGTTTTGTGCACCATTTCTTATTAAGAAGTGAAAACAGAAATAATACTGATAATATTGATATTAATGGTGTTTTATAAGGTGACTTTGTTCTCACATAAATTTTTTTAATGAATAATCTTAATTATCCCTTCGTAGATACATATATTTTGTCAGACTTAATTTTGAATTATTCTTGTATATGATTTCATTGTATTTTTTCAAATACAAGAAATATAGATACAGAAATAATAATAATAACACGAACCTTTGATCCATTAATTGGTATATGATCATTTTATTTAAAAAGTAAAATTTGAATTTTTTTTCTTTAAATAAAAAAAACAATAATAATAACACTTAGTGATAAAAATTAGTCACCGTTATTCCAAAACCTCTCATGCTAAAAATGTGGCTTAACAAATTGTTTGTTGACACCTAAAATAAAATTCATAAAAATAAATATAAGATTTATTCCGAATAATCCTTAATAAATTAAGTATTTGTACCCAAAAAAGTTTTGTTAGACAGATATAACCCATTGATGATGATGTGTCATAAAAAAGTGTGTTGACAAGTTCAAAAGAGTATAGTCATTAGTCAAATAAAGAAAAAAAGGTAATTTCGTAGTTTGCTGAGGCTGCGAAAATTGAAATCTTTTAGTACTTGTGCGAGGAAATCTATCGACGGCTTGACCCTTGGTTCTTTTGAGTTTTGAGCAAATCAACTCTTTGCCAGGAAATAGCTTCCCGAAAATGGCCACATTTAAACAATAATGTGCAATTTTGTATCATGGTTTTCAGAATCTTATTCCATGAAATCTTGTTTCTTCAAATGACGATTTATTAATAAGTCTGAGAGATAAGATGTTGAGTAGAATGAGGAATTTTATTTTGTTTTCTTTTTTACTAAATTATTAAAAAGGTTTTTTTTAATAATTTGTATTTGAATAAATTATTATATTCATAAATGGATATCATTGTATCACATGATCTTGACATATTTTGGCCAAATTACATTTCTTGCATACGTGATTACTGATGTAGCTTTTATAATATGGTGAAAATTGGTTGAGTGGGATTTTTTTTCTCGAGATATGATTATTTCAATCAATTTTATCAATTTAAAAAAAAATCACGTCATCTATCTTGAATACAAAAAATATCAATTGATAATAAAGTCACATGTATCATTCACATAATTTTATAAACAAAAAGATTTATTTGTAATAATTTAAGGGTTTATCTAGTATATTAATTTACTTTCCATATATATTTTTTTAAAAAAATTTATTTCTTATATAAATTTTGAATTATATAATAAAAAGAAGTATTTTCCTTCCCATAAATGTTATCCCAACTTTCTCAATATTCAAATCGAAAACCTTCCCGTTGCAATTCAAGTTTCCTGTTAAAATGCCCTTTAGGGACAAAAGTCTTGGAAGTATCAAATTTCAGTTTAATTTCCCTTTGCAGGAGTCAATTTGTTTTATCCCCTCCTTTTCTTTTGGCCATTTTACCCCATATATTCATAAAAGATTTTTTTTCCCCAAAAATTTAAACAATGATTATTTTAACAGGCTTATAGTTTTTATTAAGTTCCATTTTTATGATTATAATATATTTCCGGCAACACGTAACATGGAGATCATAATCAGTAAATTAAAGCCTTTTAACTTATATACTTTTTAATATGCCAAGATTAAGAATTTAGATGTCTAATATATGTCTTTAATTATTTCACGTTTTGTCATACATAACAAAATTAAAATTTTATAATCAAACATTTTTTAAAATTAAAAATAATATTTACTCCATTCCCCCTACCAGCTTTCTCCAAAATGTTTTCATTCTTTGATTAACTAATTTCAATATTGCAATTCACGCAATTAGTTGGCTTGTACCATACCTAAACTCCTTTCAAAGAACAGAATTCGTTGCACTTTTATATTAGGAAAAAAAAAAGAAAAAAAGAAAGAAAAGAAAAGGCAAACGCACAGACACAGAAAGTGACCGCTAAAATAAGACCTTTTCATTGTACCCAATAATAATAATTAAAATCCTTTTTATGTGAATAACCAATCAAAACTCAGAAACAAATGAGCAGGTTGAGTTCAAGCCTGGGTGTTCAAGGAGAACAAGGGAACCCACAACTTGAGAGTTAAGACTCCAGAGAAAACAAAACAACCTAAAGCTTTAAGGAGTGGTAATGGAAAAAAGCATCTCATGCCAAAAAGAAATTACTTCAAAAAAAATTATCGTGATCTTTTATTAATATCACATTAAGATCTCAATTAATTTTAACAGATTTTGGCCAAAATATTAAGATATTATTATTCTTCTATTTAACCTTAATAAATATTTATCACTTTTAATACTTGTTATAATTAATAATATCAATTTTTTATTTTGTAAATTTTATTCTGTTCATTTTTACAAATTTGAATTTGGAACTTTTAAACTTAAAATATCAAATTAATTACAATATTTTTACCAATGTTATAAAAGAAAAAAAAAGGGGAAAAAAAAAAAGAGTGCGGAATGCGCACAATAAGATGGAAACAGTTAATCCCACCTCAACAAGCTATTCTTGGGCAGTTGGCAACTTGGCATAGAAAGCTTACCATATTATTCCTTGTTTATTTGTACCAAAATTTCCCTTATACGCTTTTCTTTTTTTCTTTTTTAATAAAAAACGCCATATATATAAATATTAATTTCCCCAATCAAAAAACAGAAAAAATCGATAACAAAAATAACAACAAATTAAATTCTGAAAAGCACTGGGAAACAAAGCTTCTTTTGTTTTTCTCTTGAATCCTCCATCGAAGGTTAGTCAAATCTCTTCCTCAATTCGATAATTCTAAGTATTTTATTTGAATGTAATTCTGATTATTTAGATTACGAACAAGTTTAAAATATTTCGCTTTACAACTCTTTTTTTTTTTTTGTGATTGTTGTTATTTTTCTTCTGTTTGGCTACTGAGAAAACGGTGGATACATAAATGAAGACGATTAATTTTTTTATGATTTTTAATTTTTTTTTAATTTTGATTTTTAAAATAGAGAAAGTTTGAACTTAGTAGATCACTTGAATTAATTTTTTGCCCTGAAATTTTGATTGCTTTTCTTTTTTGCTGCATTTTCTTAGGAACCAAACAGAGCCGGCTCCTGACTGTTGCTTTGTTTGTTTACTTTAAATTAATTTCCAAGAATGAATAACGCTTGTATTAGATTTTCTTTGTTCTTTTCATTAAAAAAGATCTTTTTATTACATGTCCTAATCTTTTTTTTTTGTTTATTTTCTATAATCCTAATCCAATTTTTTTTTGCTTTTCTCTTATGCACACTTTGCAGAAACTGCCTTTTAAAAAAGAAAAAACTTTCCCCTTGTTATTTCTTTCTATAGTATGCTAGTATATTCTAATTGTATGTTTTATCCAGTGTTTATTGATTGTTATTATAGTTTTTTGTTTGAGATTGTTTGATTAATTAATCATCTCAATTTTTCAATGTCTTTTGCAGTTTGTGCGTTGGAATTTATGTAATAGGGATCATGAGATTCAAGAAAGGGACCAAAGTGGAAGTCTTGAGCAAAAAAGAGGTGCCATCAGGCTCCTGGCATTGTGCTGAGATAATCAGTGGCAATGGCCGCAGCTATACAGTTAGGTATCAAGGCTATTCTGGTGCCACTGACAAGATGATTGTGGAGAGGGTATCTAGGAAGGCTATCAGGCCTTGTCCTCCTGCTTCGGTCATTCCAGATAATTGGGCCCCTCGTGATGTTGTAGAGGTTTTTGACAATTTTTCCTGGAAGATGGCAACAGTTTTAGGGGTTTTAGAGAAAAAGTACATTTTGGTTAGGTTGCTGGGATCATCTCTGGAATTCAAGGTCAGTAGATTGGACATCCGTGTGAGACAATCGTGGCAAGATGATGAATGGGTTGTGATTGGAAAGGTACTTTCCATCTCAATCTGTGTTCCTCATGCATTTGAAATTTTTAAAATTTTCAAAGCTTTTTCAGCATTCATTGTTTAATAGTTAAACAATTTACTCGAGTTGATTTATTTTGATATCAATCATTGCCATATCCATTTTCAGTTTTGTTATAACCTGAGGTTAGCTTGAATATTTTTATTTTGTCGCCTGAATGAGACATCCTTCGTTTTGACAGTAAGCCTTCTTTCTATGAGATTGTGATCTAAGTACCATGCGGTATTTCTAATAAGTTCAGGCAAAACCTGATGTCATATACTTGTTTTTGGTTCCATAAATGAAGATGTTCATTTATATTGTGTCTATGTGCAGGGTTCTGGCAGTTGTGAAGAAGGGAAATATTGTGAAAATTATACTCTTAGATACAATCAAAATTCTAGCTCCCAATTTCAGAATACGATTAGAATGACAAATCGACATCTGAAAGGTGAATGTGGTCCTGTTAACAAAAAGGTTAATTACCAAGAATCTGTTATTGCTTCCTCAAAAACTCTAAAGATAGGATGCTGCTCTCAAACTGAAGCTGTTGCTGGAGCTAGACAGAAGTTTAGAGCGGTTGAGAAAGATGGAAGATTGTACCGACTGGTTGCTGCAAATCCATCCATTCATGGACAGGTAGATGCTGTTGCTTTCCCAAGAGATATGCTGGGTGAAAAATACATTCATGCTTCTATTGACAACAGAACTGGGTTGTCTGAATTGGATGCGGAGAGGAGAAAACCAAATGGTGCTGTCGGATGTTATATTGCAGAACACTTAGAAACCAATGACACTGAGCGTGTTACATGCTCTGTTGGTAGTTGTAGCGTGAGTAGTAACAATCTATATAAGTTGCCTCATCGTGTTTCTACAGGTCCTATTGAAGATCTTGATGGTCAATGTAGTGATGCTGAATCTTTTTGTCCAAGGGGAGATGAGGTAGGAAATTGTCTCCTTCCTACGAAAGAGGAACTCGCTGCTGAGATCCATAGAATAGAGTTACATGCCTACCGTTGCACCATGGAGGCCTTGCATGCATCAGGGCCTTTAAGTTGGGAACAAGAAGCATTGGTGACAAATCTTCGTCTTTCACTTCATATATCTAATGATGAACATTTGATGGAGCTAAGAAACTTAATTTCTGCTGATAGTGGTATTCCAATTAGATAACCAGGCGTGTCTGTGGTTTCTTTTACCTCTTTATTTTTTCCCCTTAGAAATAGATTTGGATAAATCATTACCCTGGTGGCTCCCTCAATTGTATGAAGCTTGATGAAATATGCTATCAATTTTCCTCATCTAGGTTTATAGCATATACTGATATATTTTGAAATGAATGTAACACAACAAAAACTGAAAAGCGTTAAATGTTTCTGAGCTAAGCATTGTGTATCAGTTCCTCTATCTCTTCTTTTCTCCCTCATATTGTACATTTATTTTAGTTAAACGAATATTTGAGAAATAGCACATCAGGCATTTGCCAACAATTGGGCAGATATCAAGAATGCATTTTTCTGATCATTCTCTTGTATATATTTCTTGCATCTGTTTGATGTACAATGGATGTATGAGTAATCTTCTGGTGACATTTGAATTCTGTAGTTATTAAAAATGTTATCCTGTGACAAAAGCCCTCTTGTTGTTTCTGACTAAGTGCTTATGTATGCTTTTCTTGAAATTTGTTTAGTATTAGGGAAAGATGTTCCAAGCCTTCTATTTAATGTGAATGTTCTCAGGGTATAATACTCTGTGTTTCAGCATAAGCATTCTCATTGGAGGACATTATTGATGCTTCCCCTGTATTTTCCAGGGTTGAAGAAGGAGGCTTAGGCACCTTCCTTCCAAATGTCCAAAGCTGATTTGGGGTTTGCCACCTTTCTCTTGCTTTTCCACAGTGGGGCAATTTGTAGGGGAAGTTATTACGAGGCACTAAGTTCTTTAGTTTGTGGCTTGCTGGATTCTTCAATTTCAGGTCTCCTGTGAGCCTTAGATATCTGTGTTGCTGAAGGATATAAGACCAGAATCTTGTGGCTGCCATGGGATGACCTGATATGTGGATATCCCAAAAGGTTTTCTTTTGGACCTTTATGTAAGATTATCCATGTATGACATCCTCTGCTGGCCCATGTGTGTTTCGCTTTGTTTCTTGCAAAGTAATCATGCTGAAATCTACTTTTCCTGTATTCCATTTGTGGAGTTCATAATTTGATTTTTTCTCTTGTTAATAATGGATGGACTGAGATTTTGAGCACGCTTGGTTGATGATCTTGCCAAGCACAAGCATAGGATGGAAATGCAAGAGACATGTTATCATGGATTTGAGAAAATATTGCATAAACCATCCTCACATGGCATGTCTTTATTCATGCCACTTAGATTGTTGTAAAATAAAATTAGAACTGTTATTAGCCAAGTTAGGGAAGTGCTCCGGAAGTGCAGTTTCTGTCTAGTTGGCAATTGGATTGACCTTTTTAGTAATGTCTGGGAGTTGATCCTAATTTCTCACTGCCTCTTCGGTGTTTTCTTTTGCTTCCTGTCCAAGTCTGGTAGTCCTGAGTTGGCTGTTGATTCTCTGGAGTCAATCTTTATAATTCTGTTGCTCGTTTTATCCTATTAGATGAATTCTTTGTCTAGCACAAATGAAATTTGTTTTGGTCGTTTAGATGCTGCCATCTAGCCTCTACATGGGAAAGTAGCAGCTCTGTACCACTAATTGGTTGGTAGTAGTAGGAAATGGTAACATATACGCTGTTATCCTTTTTTTGGATAGAATAAAACTTCATTACTTAAGAAATATAGACAACTAGCCCTAGATTTTCTGGTAAGGCACAGCTCCACACTCTAGTGTTATTTGCTTCACAACTGAAATAAGCATGTTATCTGTTATAATCTGTTATGTGCTATCTGCTGGTCTACATGCACAAGGAAATTGAACATGACATGATAGCCAGTATTTCCCAGGGGCTATTGCTTCCCAAGAGAAATTGGAAATTTTTTAGGAGTTTCTCATCTTAAGTCATGTTTCATATAGTAATGTTGTTATCTTGCACTAATTAACCTAATTACAGTTAAGAGGGGTGATTTGAATCAGTATTTCTTGCTAAGGAGTGCCTTCAGAGCTCTAGCACATTTGTTCTTTTTCTCCTTTTTACTTTATTAAAACATATTTGGAACATTCTTTCTGGTGACTGCAAATTATCTTCTTTCATCAGTAATCAGTTCTCTTTAAGGAAACTTCAATTATTTCTGAATGTGGCAGGCAACGAAAGTATGACGCTTTTAAACTTAATTTTTGCTTCTAGGGCTGATGAACATGGAGCTTTGTCATTGTCTGCTCTCAGAATTTCATGTTCCCTTCTTGAGGATGGTTTGATCTGCTCTGCTGTAATGACCACTCCGCAAGAGATGTGCATGGGTCTCTTTGCTCTCCCTTTCCCTCTTCTCTCTCTTTTCCTTTTTCCCTTTAGTCTAGATTTAGTTCTTCAGCATGCAGTTTTTCTTTTCCCCTTTTTTTTCCGGGTGATCTGGTTGAGTCAGTCGGCAAAGCTATTAAGTCATTACATTCTTGTTCTTGCTTTAGATTTCGTCCATTTTGGGTGCAAACAAATCTAACAAAGAGGCTTATGTCAGAGTCAAATGCAATTGGCAAACTTTGGGAAAGATTATTACAGGTACTGATAACTAGAAGTAGCATAAGGATGATCCCTCTTTGGAGTGTGACTTTATATAATGTCATTTTTTGGCAACAATGTTGTGACTAATGAATTCAACATGTACCATGGCATGAATAATAAATTGTTTGCTAGTCGCAAACAGTGTACATTTTGTTGCTTAATTGTACTTGGATGTCTTAAAATGTTTGATTTCACAAGAGCTACCTAGTGAAGTACCTGTTTTCACAATAGATGAGGCATTTTCTTCTGTTGTGATCTTATGTGTTCGATGTTATACTGAGCCATGAAGTGTTATGCTTGAGAGGGGCGATGGGTAATTCCAAAATATTGAATGGTTAGAGATGCATGATTTTGAATCTAATGCCTGATCATCTATCTGTGTTTTCAGAACTTATGCCCTCTATGATATAGTTTATAAAATAAATTTGACTTGAGACATAAATAGGTCTTCTCCCTGTGGAATAATGATCTCTTTGCATGTTTTCCCAAGGAACTAGGAAGAATTGAAGATTGAAGTTTATATACATTTATATACTCATTTTCTCATTGGTATTTTGATGGTAGAAATTTTGGTGTCCTACTGTTGCACTATTTGCTGCTCTTCTCATGCCTTGCATTGAAAAGCAATTTCTGTTTGTCATGGCAGATCCGTCTACATGCTAGTGTCCAAACTCTGATGACTACCCAAAAGCCAAAAAAGTGAAAAAAAAAGATCATTTTATTTTATTTATTTCTAAAACTAGAAACCGTTTTTTGCTTTGTATTTGTGGCAACATCTGTGCAATGAGTTTTTAGGAGTTCAAAATTATAATCACATAAAATGGTAGGAGATAATAAGTTGTCAATATGTGGTACTTGTCCGGTAGGTTCTTGCACTATCCACATCTCAAACTCAATATTTTATCCTTATTTTAACTTGCTCTGCTGGATCCTATTCAGACAATCTCTCTCTAGTTGTGTGTGTGGACTGCACTCTAAATTTAAATTTTGGTGTTTTTATGGCTTCTGATGTTTTTGCTGAAATTATATCTATAGCCTGGTGCAGTGGTGCTAAAATCCACCATGTAGCCTGTGGATGTTGTCCCCAAGCAATTGCTCATTGTCAGAACCCTTTACTCTTGGAGGGGCGGGAGCCTTTCTCGGAGTACTCCGGTCCTACTTGATTATATGCCCGATCTTGTTCTTGTAGGAACAACGTGGGGTCCCAAGCAGGTTTATAACACTTCCAAAACATTGTAAAGTTAGTTCAGCAGTCAATCATGTTGTTGGCAAATGATATATATGAATCTTTCTGCTAATCTGTGGCCAGTTTTGAGATTCGATAATGCTATCATTATTATTGTTATTGGCATCATTGTTCCTGTGCTGTGGTTCAGTTCTGTAACAGGTGGAACTGAAGGCTGTTTCATTCACTTTTCCGATGGGTTGCTTTTCCAATAAACCTGCGTGGGCTTTTGTTGATTTTAGTGAACCTGATACATGGACAGGCTTATCTGCAACATGGGACAGAATTGACGACTTGATGGGCCTGAAAGCAAACTTGCCCAAAAACCAAGTCTGGAGTTTAAGGATGATAGCTGCTGGCTGGTAAATATGTTCAAAACTCCATCTGTCTGTCCTTGTCAGCCACGCCCCGCCTTACAGAGCAAAAGCAGTTGACACTAACACCCAACAATTCTAACATCAATGTTACTGTTTATTTAGTCAAATATGATCAGCTGGGAAGTTAGGAACCGAGAGGTTAATTGTGGAAAGAGAAGCAGCAGCCAGCCAGGGCAACAGATTATCAGCAGCCTAGTGATAAACAATCTGCTTTAGTTAGAAACCAAAGTTTTGCATTACCCCACAAGCCCTACCCAAGAAGGAAAATCTTTGGTGCATCGACTCCACTCCACTAAAGCAAAGCTGGCATTCCAGGCTTATCTTTCCATATCTTTCTCTGCAGTAAGCTCACATGCCTTAAAACTATTGGATCTTGCCTTGGTAGTTGTTTATCTTTTTCAATGAGTTTAAAGAAATCAAGTGCTTTAAGTTGCAAAATGTACAGTAAAAGCACAGAAACTAAGATTTGTAGATGAAAAAAACTATTGAACTACTTACCTGATTCGCCAGATCAGCTATAGAAACAAAGTAAATATGATATTGTTTTGCCCGTGTGGTAAATATTGTGATATTTCATTACTACTGCTGGTGAGTCGGCAACGTGACATAGAAAACAGGGCAAAGTCTTTCTAGATTCTTTGGCCTTTGTTTTCCTATGTATTATATTAAAGGAAAATCTGATTTTGGTCTTAATAAAAAATAGTTGAGGAAGCTTTAAAGAAAAGAGGGGGCCAATGGCACCAGGTGGGTTTGTCACAGAAACGAGCAGCAAAATTCCGAGGTGTCATTCCTTTGGTCAGTATATACAGCAAATTATAAATAGAGACAGTGTGAACTATCAATCAAAAGCTTTTGTTTTATTATTTAGAAGAAGATTGATTTGAGTGTTTTTTGTTTTTGGGGGAGGGTGGGGGGTTAAGACTGTTTCAGAACAAGGGGTTGATGAGGGATAGCAAGGTGGAGGGAAGGAAGGCTACAAATGGGTTGTGCATTTATGGGGCTCCACCAAATCCTCTGCCATTGTCTCATTTGCATCTCTTCACCATGTGATCATGCCCCCCATCCTAAAAGGGGGACGCCAATTTCTCTAGCTCTCCCCCTGGGCCCTTTCCTAGATTGCCCCCTTCTTTTTCTTTTCTTCTCCTCTCTTTTTGTTCTTTTATCTTTCAGAGTTTCCATGGATGCAACCACTTTCCTATTTGTTTTTAGGCTAAATTTACAAAAGAACAAAAGATTAACCTTATAACAAAGGTAGAGACAGATCATTATTCCTTTGTGCTCTTTAGTGTTGAAATTTTCTGGTTGAAGATACTCATGTGGACATTGAAAATTTGGGGTATATGATAAAAAGGAGCATTTGCAATTTGCATGTATGGGGGGTGTTGGCAAGTGCCGTCAGCTGCTGCTTTCATGATATAGAAATGAGCAAATATAGAAGCAACACCAAAATAATGGTGACAATTGTCACTTCCTCTATTCGTATTAAATTATGGGGGAAAAAATCATAATTGGACAGTCACGTTGGTCCCAAATCTTAAATGTGGCCATCATATGACACTGCTGCTTGTAGATATTTAAGTGTACCCATCATTTCATAACTTTTATTACGTTTATTTTGAATTCTACGTTGTTGTCATGTGTCACGCCAAAAAGAAAATAAAAAAACTAA